TCCATTCAGTGCAGAGATCTGGCATTCAAGAGCTGTGAATGAAGCTGAGTTTCTGAGCCATCACGTGGATTTTCAGCGTGGTGGGGGAGTGTGTGACTGTCACCCTCGGTGGCACCCAGGGCCCCAGAGCAGGCACACACAGCGTGGTTGTGAAGGAGAGAGGGGCTGGGAATTGCTCCTGCCTCGGGGAGGGGGTGCTGATGGAGGTGCTGGCTGTAACTCTGGGGGTGTGCCAGTCTCCCTGCTCTTGGGCTGAGCCAGAGCTCCAGCCACAGAGAGAACCCCCTTCTCCAGTGCATTCATTGCATAACCTTTACATGCAATGGTAGCAGGTGCACAGTATAATTATAATTAAAGAAGAAAAAAAAAACACCTGAGAAAAATTGGAAAGAATTTTGAAGTAGGTCTTCTATGTCCTTGTGTCTGGAAAGCTGCTGTAGTGCAACCAACATCCAAGCCAAACGGTTTTGTCACAGTGCCTAACACTATTTTTAAAGCTATGTTCATTTAAAGACTTACAGAACTCTTCCTTGCTCTTTCCAATCCTGGGTAAAATAACCACAAATTATTTTAAAGCATGGTATTTCCCCTTTGAATGCTCATGGAATTAGACAGGTAACAGTCCCAAACATTTTCTCCCATGAGCAAAGTGCTGAATGAACATCCTCAGAGCTGTCTACTGACAGCTATGACAACATTAAGTCGGCAAGAATTAAACCCCAACTCACCTCGCACAACTACTGAATGCTCATCACCCTCTGAGGAACAGAAACCCCATCTTGCAACTTGGCCAGTGTCACGTTCAACCCACCATTAAAAGTACCTTGTGTTAATTACTGTTCCTTTAGATGACTTAACTGTTACAGGTTTGTTTTGAAGTTAGTCAAATTTCTTCAGAAGTGAGGTAAGGAAGGAGAAATTCCTGGAAACAGGGTCTGAGCATGGAGTCATCCTGCAGAGGGGAAGGAGAAGAACTGCAGTGCTGTTTGTGAACAGCTGCAGATCCCCTGGGATTTGTTTCCCAATTAGTTACAAAGTTCATTAACAAACTCTATTTAGAGGGTTTTCCATTTATGTGAGATTTTGCTAAATTAGTAGCCATCAGTTCTTATTTGGATAGTGAATCTGTCAAATTCCATGGACTATGCTAGTGTACAGCCATCTTCCTGCAAAAAAAAAAGGGCAGCATGATAATATGGGTAGAGTGATAGAAAAAAAGGAGCTTGCTTTGAAGAGTAGCATATCCCTCTTTTTCCTGTCAAAACACCTTGCTGTGGGTTGTAGTAGTAGTTATTTTTTGAACTTCAGTTTGCTCTGCCAGTAAAGGGAAATTAATCTAGAGGGGAACATTGACAGCAAGTTCTTAAAAGGCACTGAGAAGGTGGATGGTGCCTTCTCATCAAAGAGAACAAAGCAAATGCAAATACTAAAAGGAACATTTAAACCTGAGGAAAATAAATCTCTATTACCTTAAATAACTCGGGCTGAGCAGTACAGAATGTCACTGAGAAGACAAACTGGATGCTCACACAGATAAAGGTATTTGTGCACATTATAATTCATGGAAAGAGCCTAAAATTGATTTCACCCCACATTTCAAAGACTAGTTCAATCTCTGTTTAGGCAGGGCAGTGACCTCACAGATGCCTCCTGTGTCATTCCCTGTGCTTCAGCTGAGGCTTTTGGGGTTGGCCTCTTGTTGAGTGTGTGACTGGATCAGGAGGAATATGGGCTGGGATCCAACTGCTGCTAATTGCAGCTCATTTCTTAACAGTGCTGCCAGCTCTGCCCACGAAACAGGACTATTCCCAAGGATTGTGAGTGATGGCCTGAGCCTGGCTCAGTGGGATCCTTCCATAAAAAACTGGCTTTCCAAAAAAGAATGGCTCAGCTCTCCCAGGCAGCCCCTCTGAGTGTATTCATCCCCTGCACACAACCACACACACTCAGTGGTTATATTGCTGGTGCAAGGCCAGTGAAACCCCTTGCACATTTACTTCTGGAATTTCGTCCTCAAAAACATCATCTGGGATATTCTCAAAGACCTAAAGGTGTACACAGTAGCCTACTGTAACATTTTTCTACTGCTTAGGTAAGAAAAATTCACAATCCAAGTGATGCAGGATGCCTTTAACGAACCTTGTCCTGCCTCCATCGGCGAGGCACAAAGAGCAGAACCGAGTGGTTTGAACCAGCTCAGCATCTTTGTCATTTAAAGGAGATTGTGCCCTGCAGGGACCATCTGCCCAGGCTTCAAGACACCAAATTATTTACCAGGAATTGTAGCAGAAGTTGCTTTTGATCATTGCAATGGTGTTAAGGAATATCCTTCCTAGAAGTGAGCAGTGACATCTGAACTGTTGCTCTTCCCAGCACAGAAGCAATGACAGTGCTGAAGTAAGTGCGCATGCAATCCTCACAGCAGAAGGTGCTCCCTGTATCCTTATCACCATCCTGTCCATCAAATTTGGGCTGCTATTAGACAATAAACGTTTTGGATCTGTCCAAGTGCAGCAGGAACGGGGCACTAGAGGGAGCTCCAGCAGCACCACCCACCTCCAAGCCCCAGCCTGAAACCAGACCCCAAGCACAGATTTCCTTCTCAAGTTGGGAGGCTTTGGGATGGCTTATTGCTTTGATTAACTTCTCTGCACATTTAAATAACATTTTCCAATAGTCTTTTGCAGCTGCAGACTCTGGAATTGTCAGCATTCCCCATTTCTGCCGACAGCCTCTAATATTGTATGGTTCTACAAAGTCAGATTTAGCCCATTACATAAATGTTAATTAAAAGAAAAGCCAACCCAAACACTATAGATATCTCAGTTTTAGAAAAACTGCCTGAAAAGCTTCAGTGAAATTTGAAAAACCCTCCAGATATTACATCTTTTCCCTTACTGAGATTAAATCCTCCTTTTAATCAGTGGACCCGCAGCTGTGCATCAGGAATTAAAGCTAATATTTAGTAGGAATTAAAGCTAATATTTAGCTTTTGAATAAATAAGAGACATTTTGGGAATAATGTGCCTATTGGGGAACTGTGGGGGAAAACAGACAAGATTATTGCTGTTGGTATGCTCTTTGCTGGCAATTCCTCTAACTAAAGCAAAAATGGCAGAAGTAGCTTTTTTATTTTTAGAAAGACATCCACAGTGATTTATTAAACCTCTCTGGGGAAGACAAAAGCTATCCTCTCCATATATTTACTTGAGGAAGAATTTATTTTCAAGGCAGAAAACTTACCATTTCTAAATAAGAAGAGTCAGGCTTCTGTAGAAACACCAGGACTAATTTTGGAAGAAATTACCTTAAAAATCAACTACAGAGATCCAACTGCATTAAACATTGTGTTACTCTATTTCAGTCATAAAATTGCCCCAGCAGTGGAACAGACAATCCTATTTTATCTATACACTAAACACCTTAGATATTTCCTGTATAATTCTTTTAAATCTAATGAGATCAGAACCCCTGTTATAAAAATTCAAGCTTAATTTACATGTGATAGAAAAACATTGCTCAGTGCACTGCTGTGAGCAGCAAGGTTTGAATAGTGCTAAACCCCTGTGTTCCCCCCTTTCCAAACAGATCCACCACAAACTCATAAAACATTCTTTCATTTCTTACTGATCTAAACAAGCTTGACTAAAACATTATCTCATGAGAAAAAACTAGTTATGCTCCCTTGTCCCACAGAAGGGCCACTTACTCCACCAGAAAAGACAGATATCCATATTAGCTGTTACTCTCACTCCATTTCCTTAACAAACAAGCATCTTACCTTGACATTTTCTCCCCTCCCTTGCTGATGTTAGGTAAACATCAAACACTTAGCAGATCTCCATCCTCTCTGTTGCACTGACCTCCTCAGGATGTGACATTTCCTGGGTTTCACAGCACTCCAGTGTTTGAGGTGCTCATTCTTCTCAGCATCCTCTGTCTCCAAAAACCTCTTTCCCCAACAGTTATTTTCTCCTTTGCCAAATTCTCTTCACTGCATCACTTTCAATGATTTCTTAACTTCTCCTTTAAAACAAACAAGGAAACCACCCAGCCACCCTCATCCATCTCCTCACACTTCTCCTCTCCCCTTATGTCTTTTTCCCTTGCCCAAGGGAATATCTTCACTGTTACTGCCAGATGAGTTCCATATAATTCCCACTTCTCCTCCCTCACAAATTTCTCTTTCTCTCTTTCTGTTGTTTTAGTTTTCCCTTCATTTCCCTTCCCTGTGTCCCTTCAGCCTGCCTGCACTGTGAATCAGGACATCAGAATGTTGTGCTAATGTTCTTTTTTATTTAGTGTGGGGAATTCCTTTTGTTGATGTCAGGAAGTTTGTGCAGCTTGTGTGATGAATGTGTATTTTACTGTCAGCAGGGTAATGAAGCCTCCAGTACCCTCATCCCCCTGATTTAGAATTCTTCCCAGCATTCTGTATTCCCCAATGGAGCCTCTCAGCATCTGCCATCCTTGGCAAGAACTGCCATTGAGCAAACAGCTCTTTCCACCACTCCACCTTCCTTCCTTCACTTTCTCTTCCCCATTGCCATCCAGAAATCTGTGGAGGAAGGGTAAAGCCCGTAAAATAGACTGAACAACCTTCCCAAATAATTACTCCTAGGAAACAATGCACAGGAATTTTTAAATTCATGTTCCCTAATTCCAGTGGAAGTTAAGATGCCCCTGCTGCTGTTGCAAAGGCAGACTCAGATCTAGAAGTGAAATACAACTATTTCACCAGCATTACAGACCCAAGCACAGAGAATGGGAAGTGACATGATACAACTGAGGGAGAGATAATTTTTGCCTACATAAGTGTGGGAAATGCAAGAATCAAGAGACGAGGTGTTACAAGTCCCCAGTGCTCACTGCAAGAAATAATTGTGTTTGTCACTTCACAAACACTGTAAGAAAGAATGCAAATACTGCAAAGGCAGCAATGGGGTTGTAGTTACAAGGTGATAAACCAATTGCTGCACAAAGAAAAACCAGAAAACTACTTAAAACAACCAAATCTTTTAATTAGAAAGCAACAAACATGCAAACAGCAGGTATAGAAATTTATTTGAACCAACGTTTTTACTATCATGAAAGTTACTTTAAAACATTGATCCAAGCTCTCACATTTGCTGTTTAAGGAAAATATTGCACTTGGCATCTTCTAGCACCCCTCATACATGGCAAAACATTTTAAAAACATTTTTTTTTATTTTAACTTGCACACTCTCCCCAAGTCATGCACACAGTCGTTCAAAAAAACAAAAGGTTAGGTTATCCAAAAGCAATACCTCAGAATTGCACTAAAGCTCTGTAAGGAAAAATATAATTAATGTCTTATACAAATTTCATTGACTTCCAGGTGCTCACACACAACTGTTGGTTACTCTTCATCTTCATTTTCATTCTCCTGGCCAGATCCTTCTGATCTGTCACCTTCCAATCGGTCTGCAAAACACAGATTTAGTAAAAAGAATGTGCAAAATTTTCTTTTTCTGGTAAATATTTATTATGTGCTGTCTCCCTGGACTGTTACACCATGGGATATGGCTGTGGATTTTAGGGTAGAAGAAAGTCTGTGTGGACTTACAGAAGAGAGTGGGTAGAAATGTTACCACAAGAAAGAAGAGAAATGCCCTTAAGGATTTCCAGACATGAAAGCAAAATCTGTGTACAAAAGGAAAAACCTTGTAGCTGCTGACTGGCTGTCAGCACAGAAAAGACCAATGCAAGTACCATTAAAATGAGATGGTGACTACAAGGGACATAAGTGCTGTGCTGGGGAGCTGAAACTACAATAGCTACAGTTAGAAATGTGAATAGTCCAGAAACTGGGGGATCACTGCCTGTCACTTCAATACATCAGAAAAAGTGCCTTTGGATGTAAATATTTAGAGAAGGGCAAGTACAGAAATGTGTGAGGGAACATGACTGGCTCAAGACCAATCACTCAAGCAACACGCGGTCAGGTTTAGAAACACTCCACCCAGATTTTTGCTGGAATGTTGTAACTGAAGTGTTGGACAGTTCTTTTAGCATTTCACTCAGAAGAGATAATGACAAATGAAGGAAATACAGGGGCATGGAGGTGCAGCACTGGGCTGGACACATGGCACCCTCCTGGCTCCCAGGGCTCCCAGAGCAGCCAGAGGTGAGAGAGGAGCAGCAGCTGCCAGCAGGCACAGCTTCCTTCACACCTCACCACTGCAAGCCACTGCTCTGCTCAGCCACAGTCCCCATATTCAGTATTTCCCATCACTTTCACCTTCATCTACAGGTCTGTTAGGTTTTTGCCCCATATGCCATGCCAGCCTCCCAAAACTTCATCTCCTTGCTTCCTACACAGTGTGCGATGCCTCTCCACTGTCCTCCATCTTCAAGGTCAATCCACTGCACTCAGCTTCTCCAGCACCAACATCCAGTTCCCGGTGATGATTCCTCCATGCAACCCTCTTATCACCAGTGCCAGCCCCATGGGAACTGGAGGGACATCCTGCTGCCCTGGGAACAGCTGCCAGCAGCCTCAGCCATGCCTCCCACAGTCCAGAATCTTCACACCTTCCTTCGCCCCTAGACAACTCCCACAGTCACAGCCAGTTTATCTTACAGTTCATTCCAGTCCTCCCCAACAGTTTTCCCATCACACAGCAATCACTGAAAAGATCACTCCTGAAGAGAGTATTTTTCAACATCTAAAAATACATTTTGCTCTTTGTTTTGACATAAAAAATAACAGCTGCAAAGATGTTGCAAGTCTCACACCAAAGAAGCAATTCCTAAGTATTAACAGAAGCTTGAACAACCCTTGAATCTTCTCACCAACCCCAAGTACAGCCAGAGCCAGCTGAAGATCCTGATGATTTCCCAACCAACCTGCTATTTCATAGCCCAGTGCTGTGGACAAGTCCTTCAGAAGTCTCTCACCTGCTCTTATGTGATTCAAGGAAGCCAACATTCGGAGCATGAAGGAAGCTGGAACAGTGATGGTGTTTCTGGTCTCTTCCAGCATTAATTCATTGCGGGTTATAACCTGAAGGCAGGGAAGGGAGAAGACCCGCATCAGAAATAAACACAGAATTATACTGCATTGTAGATACAAAGTTTCTGGCAAAAGTCATTTTACAGAGTCCAAAATTACCATAAGGGAGCAGTATTTTAATAATTGCTATTGGAAAACTGTTGTCTGGAGTAAGAAAAGTCAGCCAGTGGACTCCGCCTGCAGGTGTCCAATTATCTGTCTAAAGAATATTTTAGTAAGATCATGGTTCCATTGTCCACATGCATGGCAGATACTAAGATTAGTGACTAAGAAAAACTTTGGAAATCTTTCATGAAGTAAAGCAGACTGATGAGAGAAAGAGCTGTTTCCAGATGGCAACTGTTGTAGAGAACAAAGTTCTAGCACCAGTGCTGGCCAAGAATGTGGGAAGGAAAAGAGATGAGGTTACCCTCAACTCCTACCTTCATGCTGCTTGAAACTTTTGGACAAAATCCAAGGAACACAAGCCATTTCTATCCCACTTCAGGAACATTCTTTAGCTCCATAATTCTTTGTAAACAGAGCTACAGCTTGCCTCTAAGTGACTTGAAACAGCCAGTTCCTACTGTCTCATTCTCAAGGGAAAAGAAAAATTCACTAACGAATACTTCTATTTTTCTTCCCTCATTCCTTCCTCATGGTACTTCCTCGCCATCCTTCTTTCTTCCTCCATAAATTTTTATCTCACACTGTAGGTTGTCCCAGCTTTTAGACTATATTCTTTTGTTATCATTAAGCACAAAAATTTCTTTAGGTGGAGACAAGTTATGACCATTTTTCAGTCTTAGCTCCCAGATCAGCTGCTGTAAGACAGGAAAATAATGAAATTCTTGTTCTCTCTGAGACTCTTCAAACCTGTTCCTCTTGTGAGGAACATGTTCTTGCAAATGTTTGCAGTTTCTTCTCCCTTCCCAACCAAAGCACCTCTTTTCTGCCATTCTCACTTGTTTGTCAGACACTTGGCACAGCTGATCCCTCTCCAACAGAAGCAAACTGAGAAGGCAGCAGGCTGCTCTTTATTCCTCTTTCACCCCATATTTCTGCAGTGCATCATCAATAATCCCCCTGATAACCTGGTGCTGAGGCTTTTTCTCCATTCAGAGGTTTGTTCTTATCCCCCCTGTCTTTTCCTATTCACTAAGGTCATGGCCTCTCTCAATTTTAAATACATTTCTGTATCTATATGGAACTTTACTCAAACACAGTGTTTTCTCCTCAGACCTTCCCCCTTCTCTGGAAAATTCAGTTCAGGTATTTTGGACACTTCCAGCCAAACTAACATGGTGAGAACTATTTTATTGCTATGAACATGTCCTGTCCCCTACACAGGCATGTCAGTACAGGGAATAAATTAAAAAACAAAAATAATGTAAAATTACAAACAGCACTGCAGTCAATTCTTCTGGAAGTTCTACTTCTTTATTAAAGAAAACATAACTAAATGTCTAAATAATTTACAATTATTAGAAATAAAGGGAGGGAACTAAAGTACATTAATTAATTTTAGCACACATTTATGTTTAGCAATACTTCTAAACCCCAAAGGCTCCAAAACATGTCAGGACTAAAGCTGTCACACAATATGCAAGGAAGTGTCACTTCACTCAGTGCTAAAATAATGGGAAAGGTTGAAAACTCACAAGTGGATGGTTTGGGGATTTTTCAAGGGATGTGGGGTGGTGGCTAAGGGTTGTGTGTTTCTGTTGGTTTAAAATATATTTAGCAATTCTACAGAGAAATAATGATTTAAAAAAATCCTAATCTACTCTATTGTGCTGTGCAAGATTTCACAAAAAAAGCCCCCAACCTGACCACCCCATAACCACATCTGTCCTATAATATTATTTACAGAAAACTATATAACATTTTGATACACTGTGTTGTGTAAATCACTCAAATATGGTTATTCAGCAGTCAGCTATATGGTCACCCCAGGCCAGCTGCTATATCCAGTTATTGCTCTGAGGGCAACATGAATATAATGAGTTACATAACTTCACACTGGACTTTTTATAACTTGGGCTTGCAATGTTTGCTTTATTCCATGAAGTTCCCATGTGCAATCTTAACCTTTAAGTCCCTTTTATGCCACTGAATATTTAATAGGATTGATTTTTGTACTCTGTGTTGTTCTGTATATCCCTGTATTGCCTTCAGTTTATTTCCTTCATATTCCCTTCATTTATTTGTTTGGAGACAGGCACTATATTAATTTTTTAATTCCTGCCAGTTTTCCTTCTATATCTGAGTGTTCACACTTCTTCCAACTCCTTTCATGTACATAATAGCAGATCTTGTTATATAATTTCTAGGAGAGCTGAGGAAATGCAAAGTGCCAAGGATATGAAAGTCAGCTGTTCTGAAGGGCAGCTTGTAATTTGTAGCTCATTTGCTGAACATTGAATAACTCTGCTAATTCAATATCAGTAATTTGTACCAAAGGCTTTCATAGAATTAAAGACACAACATTACCATGAAAAAGGAGGAAAGGTTCTTACCTCATCTGCAAGTTTTCTGTTAAAAATCTTGGATTCTTCCAGTGGTGACCAAATTTTTATATCATAATCAATACCCGAAGAGGCCAGAACTAGAAATAAGTAACAGTAATTCTAAATTAAATATGTTATGTGTTTATTGGTATTTTCTGCTCTTAAATAGAAGAAAAATATTTCACTTGAAGCATTTATTTGCAAATGTCAGATCTCATGCTGAACAGAGCTTGTAACTACCAAGTCTCCACATGAGGTCTGCTCCATAGATGATTTGTTTTTGAATCTATCTATATAGATATGAAGAAAACAAATGCAAACATCAAGAGCCCCTGTTTTATATTTTAAAAAATCACCAAAATATACAAAAGATAGAAGCAAAAAGTAAGAGCAAAGCCAGCCACTACTGATCCATTTCTGCTGATAAGTATATGCATTAATAACAAAGCTTTAGAATTTGTAGACCCAGTACAAAGGCAGAACCAAGATAATTTCAAAGGTACCTTTGATAATTACAGTGAATTTCATGTAAATTTATTTGATATTTACATGTAAAGATGCAATGGATGCTGTTATAAATAAAGTATGAAAATATGAAAAGTTGCAGAACATTCTCTAGATCATCGCACGAAAGCCACTGTAGGAATTAAAATTCCATAGAAAGCTCTCAGTAACTGGGAACTGAACAAGAGCAACTGTCCTAGAAGGATGAGCTCTCTTAGTGACACCTTCCGAGTGTGACACACTCCAACAAGACATCAGCAAAGCCACAGGGCACTTTGAAATGTGCTTCCAAAGGGAGTATCCAACTCAGGACATTTACAAGAAGTCACTTTCAATAAAAAAGTTAAAAGTTCAAGGCTTACCCTAAGTAGGACAGTATTCCATGGTCCCCCAAACTGTTTGAAAAACGCCCAGCCTCTTCTAACATAATTGTAACAACTTTACTTGCTAATTTACTAATAGCTCACTCTTACTATACAGCCAGGTAAGCTGTGAAAAAAAAAAATAACACAAATACTTTCTCTGACTGTGTCAGAGGCTGGAGGATGGTTCAGATTTTCCAGCTACATGTGATTCTTTCTACTGCTTTGGTCTATCTTTTCTATGAAGGATTTCCTCTAAACACAAATTATTAGGATTTCTATTAATTTTATTAATTATTCTAATCTCACAATGCCAGTGAGACTGCCAGTGTTATTAATTATTCTAATCTTACAATGCACTTCCACTGCATTTTTTTAATAGAACCAAGTAGAGACCAGATTCCAATATAATTTGCAAGTATTGCTGGCATCTCAGCAATCCCATGTTTCCCTCATTAGCGTCATAGAAAACATTTTATATGTTGAGGGCAGCAAAAAATTGAGATTCTTCTTATTACATCTGTCAGTATTTCTATAAATTCTGTGACGGGAGTAGTTTGATTTCAATAAATTTTTGAGCAAGGAGGGATTTAAGGGCATTAATAAGAGGCAAAATTAAAAGCACTATTTATCTGAATTATATAGGGAAATATGAACAACATCTCATTAATCATTGCATTGCTCTATTGAGACAGAGTTTAAGACTGAGCTTTCAAATGCTCTAGTGCAGATAAGCTGGGCATGCAGAGTGTGAGAATGCTGCTCTTACTGGGGTCAAAGGGGTGAGGCTGCAGGCAGTTCACCACGTGGTTGTCAGCCTCCAGCAGCATGAGGTGCTCAGCAGTGTGGCGGTCCCAGATGAAAATGTGGCCACAGTCTGAGCCACTCATGACAAAGTTGGATCCCCAAAAGTTGGCTTCCTTTATCTGCAAGAAAAAACAAAACTTGGTAAGACCCAGCCAGTGAAAAGCACAACAGTGCTGCTGAAGAAAAGCTCAGCCCATGCAGAAATGAGATTTAAGAAATTTTAAATGAAACATTTAAAGAAGAATGACTAAAAAAAATGAGAGTTCATAAAGTTTTAGATTTCAAGAGCAAAGTAGCTGCAAACAGAAAGGAAAAAAAAAAGAGAGAGAGAGAGGAGTTGGGGCAGACTGAACAGTATGAAAATACATGTCAGATCTGTCACTTTCTGAAGCCACAGAAATGATACTGGAGACAGGGTATGCAAAGGAGTTTTTAGGAAAAGTTTGGCCAGTTTAAAGTTTGTGACAGGCTAATCCCTGGGGAGGATTTTCCACTACAGAGAAACAGGAGACAAGACAGAAGCTGGTGATACCTTCTTCAGAAATCCCTTCTGATTTTACTCAGCATAGGAGCTCAAAATAACCGTTGTGAAATGATATAAATTTGCTATCCCATGTCCCCTACAGGTGAGAGGCTTGATGGGGTGGCACAGGGAGAGGGGACATTGCTTCAACAACAGCCAGAAAACTCAGTCACGAGATGGGAGCTGAGAGCTCCACAACACTCTGGTGTCTGTGCTGTAGAACGAGCCTGGAAGGCTGAGGGGTGGCCTCGTGTGTGGAATTGTTATTTTGAGAGCCAGCAGTACCTCCTACAAACTTCTAATCAACATACAAGGGGAAAGAGTGCAAGCAGGAGCTGCCTGTGCAGCAGCTTGGAGTTCATACAGACCATTTCCAATGCTGGAAGTTCAGTTTGGCATTTAGGAGTAACTCCAGCATAAGGGACAGAATTTTGAGTTTGAGACTATTTACACAGAATCCTGCTATGAATTATTTTCCAGGTAAGGCTCTAAAGAGGGCCGTGCCTGGATCCTTGTCTTTGTTTTGGCAGACTTCCCTCAGAAATGCCCTGAAGAGAAGGGCAGAGACGTTGCCTTGCTCTGTGCTTTGCCTCAGCTACCTCGGTACAGATTCACTGGTAAATGGAACCCTTTTCTGTAGAAAGATGTGGTTTATTTCCAGCATAAGTATGCCAAGGTTTAAATTTCAGGCTTGGTAGATCTTTGTCTATAGAATATGTCCCAATGACTGCAGTCAGTGTAATAATGTCATCCTGATGTCTAAAAATAAACCGGAGAAGCTGCTTTCCTGTAATGAATTCCAATGTATTAATCTTTCAGCTGCTTTTGTCTTATAGCTCCTTTTAATACATATTTTCATTATCCTGTTACATCTAGATTATCCCCAATAATAAAAAAAATTAATTTTCTATTTTAATTTTCAATCATGACCTCTTCCTGTGTCCTGTGTATTCTCTTACTCATACTTCTCAATACTAATAAAATCTAATTTTAGCACCACAAAAATGAACAGAACTGAAATTCACATTTAAAAATTTTGGTTTTCAAACGTTTCTAAAAGTCACTGTTTTAAAAGCAGGACTATAAAAAATGTGAGATTGCCAAATTAAGTTTTCAAAAGTAAGGAAGAACCAGAATTATTCTATTTGCCTGCATAACCTTAATTCACTATATATACATATACACACACCCACATATATGTATGTACCTGTAAAAATTCTATACAGATATATATATAAATGGTTCATGCAATTGACAACACAACTTTTTCCCTGGGCTGCTCAGGTGTGTAGGAAACAAAGCTTTTTTAAGGTGTCTCCTTAGAAAAGGAGACACCTTAAAAATAAATTTGAAGGGGAAATATCATTAGCCCTTGCCTTGCAGGAATGAGGGCATTACTCAAACCAGCAGATCAAAAAGAAGTTTGCAATCATAGAGACCAACAGGGAAAATAAAACTACATTTTCTTTCACTCTGTGCATTCCTTGCCATAGGTACTCGTGTGAAACAAAAGCAAAAAGACTAACACATCCCTAAGAAACCAAACAACAAAATCTGTTAAATAATCTATAGAATAACAGCTATGCAGACAGAGACTGAATTAAGCCCTAGATTAACTCACTTTTAGTATCTTTTAACCACAAAGTGCCTGATGCCAGGACTTGTAAATTAATCGGGGTTTAAGCAATTCAAATTGATTTCTGAAATACCATAAAAAACTCCTTGTCATTAATCAAAGTTTATTCTAAACCCTGTTGCTTTTGTAGACTGAAATATGTATTTAGTCAAGCATTTTTCCCAGTGTAATCAAAGCTATTCACACAAACCCTAGAAAATGCCTTTTGGGGGGTAAAGGGACTACTCTTCACATCAGCTGCAAAATAACACACCAGCTACTTCTGCAAAATGCCACCTAGAACTCAGAACTTCACATCTTCAAAAATATTGCAAAAACCAAAAAGAAGAAATAGCAAGGAAAGCAGCATCTGTTTTTCATGCACCATTGTTTTACAAACACAATAACTGTGTTTTTTCTTAAAATACTGGATTTTTTTTGTGTGAAAAAAGATGAGGCATCTAGTAGCTAAATTATAATTTAATAACTAGCACTCCCTTCCTTTTTTTAATTCAGAGATGTCAAGGTTCTTCAAAACTCTGATTTAATCCTCACTTTCCCTTCCAAGCTCTTCAAATTTAAAAATTAAATAGTAATTTTGAACAGCTTGGAAGGGAAAGCGAGGATTAAATCATAATTTGGAAGGCAGGCACATTTTATGTCACATAAGCTGAGAGAGAAATTGAAAAAGAAGGAAAATGAACCAATTTTTAATGGATGTTAAGGGGAGAGAGTCTCAGACTCAGGAGTATTTAAATGCCTTTCACAGTGACACGAGTCACGCTAATTTTAATTTTCACTTAGAGCAAATTCTGTGCCTTCCAAGTGAGCCCAAGTGCTTACAGAGCATCCCGAGATGCTTTTTGGGAAGCAGAGCAGGGCCAGGTGCCCCAAGAGAGCCCCCGCAGCCCCAGCCCCGAGCCCCCAGAGCTGTACCATGGTGCGGGAGTTGCGGTGACCTTTGTAAACCATCTTGATCAGGGGCCGCCTGATGTTCAGCGTTTCCAGCTCCTCCATCTCCTTCCTCTCCTTCCTCCTCCTGAAGAGCTCCTGGATGCGGGCCACAGCGGATCGTCTGTGAATCCAGAGAGAGCAGCACTGAGAGCCCCTCCCAAACACTGCAGGGGGCTCCCAAAAATCATCAGTAGGCACTCCACCACATTCTCCATGAGTTTGACACAGACATCAACATCATCTCAACTGTAAAATTGCAAACGTGAATTTTTTCCATCCTGGCTTACAACAAGAATAGCATGCAAGACAGTGGAATGTCAAGTGATGCCAGGTTTTATTCACCCCTCTGTAGAACAAACTTCAGCTGCTGGCAAAATTCACATGCTATTTTATTTTCATTCTCCACCCATATTGAGGCAGCAAAATTCTGAAGTGAAAAAAAAAAATCTATGCCAGAACAGAAGTTTTTAAATTTTAAAAAGCCATTAAGGATCTAATGGGTCTGTCAGTGTGATTTGGTTTTTCATAAGATTTTGTCCAACGTATTTCTTGTCAATATTTCTCTATGATGAGATTTAAGATTTAGACAGCTTTTAAGAAGTTCCTACTAAGGAAAAGATGATTTGAGATCAGTTATTGGAGCACCTATCCCATATGGTAGCAGTAAGGTTTACAGCTGGAGATTTCCTAAAATAACAGAGGCATAAACAAAAGCCAAATTATGTAATTTGTTTTGTAAATGTTTAATTCCAGGAACTTAACTTTTTATTAATCTGTGAAAAGACCTTGGTGTCAAATTTTTCCTGTTTAGCTGTTCAGTTTGCAGATCCCCATAATTCCAGCTATGACCAGACGGTCACATCTCAGTTTTTTGTCTTCTGTCATTCCTTGTCATTATTAGCTTTGAGGTCCTGAACACAGTCCAAGGGGAATGTCACTCTCAAGAAGCAAGTACAGATTTTAGCAGAATGCAAGGAGTGAAACTATTACAGCAATTTATATTATCCTAAAAATTAAACTGATCCAGGAACCTCCAGAACTAAATTGCTGCCAGAAAGTAACCTGAATTTATTTTTAAGTAACGTTTTCCTTTGTGTTTAAGTAATGTTTTCCAGTGTTTTAGTCACTGATCCTGAAAACTCCAGCAACAAGTCTTCTACTCCAGAAAAAAATCCCACCAGATCTATCTCATCACTAATTCTCTCAGCCAGTGATCTGCTTAGATTTTTGTTCAATTTTTGCCACAGGAGAAAATTGCACCAAAAAGTTAAGGTGAAATAAATGTTATGCTACAGCTAAGCAAAGAAGGAGAAGGAATGTAAGTCATTAATGCAAATTTATTTGCTATAAAAACAAATAAACAACAAACCACCCACTGTTTTACTAAGACAGATTACCTACTACAGCTAAGCTTTCAAAATAAATTTTAATACTTTTTTATAGAAACCAGAAGAGTTTTGAAAGCACCAGTCAATAAATCTACTTAGCAGTGTGCTATTTATTATAATACACTTCTTAGATGTTTGCCTAGCAAACAGCACCAGAAAAAGTAGACTACTACTACTTCCTTGGTGAGAATTTTCTATTCTTTCAATCCCTAGACAATTTCCTGGTTCATCTTTTTTATACTACAGTAAATAAATACACTGTATTTTTTAGTTAGTCCTTATAATATGCTGAGTTTCAACTTTAATCTTCAACAGATTTAAGAGGGTTCTTCACAACACCTTCATACAACAGAGGGAGTAAAAAAAGAAGCCTATGTTCTTTATCTACTGTGTTTTAAAGATCACTGAGTTATTCTCCTCACCAGTTTGCTTCTACATAAAGGAAAAAGGGTGGCATGCACATGATAGGCTGCATCAAACACTTACAGAAACTTCAAACCATTATTTGTGCAGATTTGACTTTTACTTGCATTTAAAAAAAGATGGGGTTTGTGCGAGAAAGTAAAAGCATCTATCATTTACTGTGATTCCTTTTCCGAATTTTGGTGCATTTGTTCACATTAATTAATTAAAGATGTGCAGTGAAGAGGCTGGGAAGTTAAACATCATTAGGACTGACAGAGCACTAGACTTGACCAGCTGTTTCAGAAGGGTTACTTGCTGGACAGCAGTAACAAGTCTTGGGATTAGAAGATGATATTAAAGGAGCTAATTGGTAAAGCAAAGTAGTTTCTTGCACAATTTTTCATCCAAACATCTCTATGAAAATTAATCTCTCCAGTTCCCTAGACTGAAATACGCAGACATTACAACAAAACCTCAATACTCCTCAGCAATCAGAATCATGCATTTTTAAATAAGAGCAGAAGCACAGAAGCAACTTTTTGTTAAAACTGTCTTTCAACTAAATGGAACTCTGAATTTAACCTCCTCATTTGGGGCCTCATTTTAAAAGGCAGGAGTGGATTTCTATTTAGTCATGTTGGAAGCCAATGATTACCTTCTCCAGGGAGAAGGCAGCCAAGCACACACAACTGTCATACTGTGATCGAGCCCAGCAGAAAGCAAGAACATGGCAGAGGCAGGTCTGCTCCAGAAAACATAAATATGAGCCCAATTTAGTGACATTTCAGGACAAAGAAAATTACAGGAAAAACCCTTCTCTCTGAGAGATATTACTTGTTGATAAATACAGATTTTCCATAATTCTTTTTAAGTCATACATGCACAAGAATTTTAAAATCTGACATGGCTGTTTTCATTTGTATTTGTGATGAGCAATTCCTGTCTTTGCCAACACAAACACAGAAGCAGCCTCATCACTTGCAGCATCAGTGGGTACAGAAGTGTGCTGTGCAATTTGAACTGTTCTGAGTTCAGCTTGAGCTGAGCCTGGCTGAGAGCTGCTGCTTCCCCTCCAAACTGCTCTTCCAAGCACAAAATATCAGACAATGGAATTTATGCACATTGTGTTGGCACTCCTCAGGCAACCCCATCAGTGGGTACAGTTCTAGGAAGTATTCACAGAGCACTGCTCCTCCCCTTATGATCAGTCAGGTTTAAAGTCCTCAAAGTTAATAGTTGTAATTAATTATCAAAAGTCCATTTAAATTAAGCCTGAGATTAATGGAATAGGGATTCAGAAGTGAAACCATATTTTTTTAGTTAAACACAGGTTCAAGATAGGCAAACAAAAACGCAAACCCACAAAAATCCTGTGATGTAAACTGATCCACAGCTATATATTCTAAATGGAAAGAAATGGAAAATATGTATACACATAAGCTAAGTCTTAAAATATATAAGATGTCACATAAGGTGTTTTCTGTATATTTAGAAGTTCTGAAGCATAATGAGGATTTTTTTAAAAACAAGAATCTGTACAATTTACACAATTAAATACCTGGTTTGTTTGTTAAAGGACAATAATTTAGTGGCTGCCATAAACTCATCTGGTACCTGAGATAACCCTGCTTCTTCCAAACACCATTATCCCAGACAGAAAATGGTCAGTCTCCTGAGCTCAGCTGGAGCAGAGCTCACGTCTCCCTCCTTCCTTGCTCCATCCCTCGTGTCTCAGCTCTGCACTGAGTATTGAGCTCAGTATTGATTCCTTCTGTACTGAGGATTTTTGTCACTTCTCAAGTTTCCAAATGTATTCACACACAGACAAATATGGTCTCCTTTTCATAGTAGACAGATTTGGGCTGGAAGGGACCTTAAAGATCATCCCCCAAGCCCTGCCAGGGGCAGAGACATCTTCCACTGGACCAGTGCTGAGGACCACAAACCCTGATTCCCTCTCTTGAGCTCTCTGATGTTAACATCTATTTTTTTATCCACTCCTGTTGCCATCTTCTCCTTTCAACTGTTTTCCCTATGCAAAACAATTGCAGAGAACCTAAGGCTTATAACCATTAACTTAGATCTTATTTCTCCAGTGCCTCATGGTCATCTGGACAATGCTCTCAGGCACATGTTGGGATTCCTGGGGGTGTCCAATTGAGTTGGACTCAGCTGTGGGTCCCTTCCAACTCAGAGCATTCCATGATCCTGATATTATTTGTGGGCATATCTAAAGCACTGCAGCAAACCTTGAGCCAGGTCTGTCATTTCTTCATTGATCCCATAAAGGAATCCAGTTGCCAGCTACCACTGATCTGCCCAAGAATTCCAAAGGCTTGTCTTAACCACCATATTAAAATAGATCCCTTGACTAAATGCCAACATTTGATTATATTTCTGATATTGGTTACTTCCTTTATGAGCCTCTGAACCCATGGAAGAGATTTACTGCTGCTGTCAAATTTCAAGTATTAAGACAGCTCAACACCAAAGGCAAAACCATCCTGTTAACAGCACATTGACACTACCCCTAAAGCCCAAGTTATTTCACTCTTGATCATACAAAACCAAATGTTTACTGTAATGCTCTCCTAGGTAATTTTCCCAACTTTTCAAACACAATCAGTGTTTAAATTATTCTCAGTTACAAAACACTTCAAAATTTTCACCTGATATGCTGATGAATGATGATGACAAGCAGAGAAAAAAGACTGATAAAACATTCTACTCTGAATGCATCATTTATTTTATATTAAATTTATGATGAAACTACTAATATTCCCCTGGGCTGTGCTGAAGAGCTAAAGAACTCCTTGGTAAGCATGCTGAATATAGAAAGAATGCCTATTGTAAAATTTCAAGTACAAACAGCAAAGATTCCTGAACCTCTAAGAAAGCTGCCAAGTTAAATCCAGGTATTCCAACTGCAACTAAGATGAAAATATAAGACAAAGAAATATAGATCTGCACTATTTTCCTGAAGGCATTTAAAATACAGGACTCAGGCTAAGTCTTTTATGGAACCTCATCCTGCACCTTTGCCTTTTCAGCCACAGAAAGCCAAGATGTTCATTTTCATCATTGTAACAATTTTGGGCTATTTCCCCTCTAGATGACCTCTGGCTGAAATCACAGCTGAGAGTTTCTCCCTCTTACATGTGGCCAAACACAATTACCCAAATTGCCTTATATGTTCTTACAACTGCTTCCCTCAAGTATCTCAATAAAGAATATGAGATCAAGGGATTTTTTTTTTCATTTAACTTCATTAAAAGCAATATTGAGTATAATTTAGCATCTGTCTTTCTAAATGTGTATTACCCAATATAGCTCTAATAATTATGCTTAGTTCCATAACCTTGTTCAGGCAAAAAATATAAATGGTTTTTGATCCATGTAGTCTTATATTTTTGTCCAGAACTGGATGTTCTCTACTACCAGACAAAGCAAATCAGCAGTAGCCCATGCAAATATAACTCGTTCCTCAGCAGCTCAATTAAAAAAAAAAAAAAAGAATATTTCTTTTCACAAGCTACACACTTTTCAAATTCCATTAATTTCTATGGCACACGATAAAAATGTTAATAGGTTGTAAAATGTATACACTGCCATTTCTTTTCAATTTCCATGCAACACATGCAGCTAAATATAACTCAAGCAATATGCTCTGTAATTCATAGCATTTGAAGTACAGCAATTCTTAAAATGCCAGTTAGATATGAAAAACCAGAACCTGATAAATCCAATATATGGCAATAAAAAGGAGGAGGGGAGGAATAAAATAATTAATTACCTCATTATTCTATCACCTATCGCTGTTCCTCTGATATTATATCTAGTAAAGGGAATAACAACTGAAGTCATTCACAAATGCTAGGTACCATGTTTTTCAAAGGTTAGCATCTTTTACAAAATGTGCTCTATGAATTCCAACTGAGAAGGCTCCTTCCCAGTGCATGAGTCAGTATATGAGACTACTTGCATTTCAGCAAAAATAGTATTCAGATTATATAACAGCACACAAAGTAAAGTTATAAAATGCAGTAATTCTTCATAGATCACAGCAGCCGTATCATTTCCATTCTACATTCGTATTTCTTTAGATTTTAACCTACTAGGTTAAAGCTAGTTGTAGCTTTTTCCAGGCTTAGCCTCCGCCCCCAGATCAACTTCAAAGTCCAAACAAACTTAATTCAGTCATTTAAGTAGGAAATCAGCCCTCAGAGAGCTGTTTTGACTAATTTGTGAAAATTGAGATCAATCCATTAGAAACTGCACTCTCTGTGTATGAACAACATTTTGCAAAGATTTTTTTCCCCTCCCACAGATTACAAGGTATCACCCTCTGTTTGAACTAAACTTACTGGATCCAGAAACTTCTAAAGGAGAAATGCCCTTGCATATGTCCAGACTGAAAGACCTCCATGTGTTGTTTTATTTGTCACAAAAGGCACCTTTTCCTGGGGATTCCCTAAAATGCACAGGAGGTTATTTACTCTGGTGGGTATCTAGCTAAACTGCTCTGCTGTACAGAAGAGATTTTAATTGTTTTTCATTTCAGAAAATTCTGTGCACATCCTTATCCACTTTGTTAAAAAGAGCATGCATTGACTGGCCCAACAACATGAAAAAAGGAAATAACTGCTTAGCTTCTTTTAGTCACTTGTGAAGACCATTCCTACAGTGATACTCAGTGGCTAAGAAATGCTGCTGAAAAAAAGTCAGATGTCACATTCTCAATTATTTCTTTTAAAGAAATGTCCTTCTGTGTCAAAACTCTTCCTAGCTGACTCCTGTCAACATACAGCAGACTTAGCCCATCAACCAAAGGATCGTGGTCTTTCTCCACATTTTGCTGCTACTATTTAAAGTCCTTTTCAAAATATTAAAGCAAGTGCAGACTTTGCCCAGTCCTTGCTGATAGCTCAGTTTCAGGTTAGTTGGTGAGAAACCACCTATCCTCATTGTGTTTTGAGATTTATAAGTATCCACAATGTGAGATTATTTGAGAAAAAGATCAAACCCTCAGCATGAAAACATTACAATTACAAATAATATTCAAATAATGGAAGCCTTGTACAATTAGATTTGCAAAATAAACAATATTTATTCATAAATCTGAAATCTACATCCACCTTACTAAAAACAACCTGAGATGCAGCAGGAAGTTCCCAATTTATTTAGAGCTCTGTTTAACAGAGCTATCAGAAGGGTATTTCTGCCACTTTTTTTCCTTAAGAGGAAGCAGCAGATCATGATTTCAGAGTACAGAATCAGAAATCTACCCTTCTTTTTCAGTGGAGAAAACTGTATTTCACAGTGGGAAAATGACTCAGACACATTCCTTTATCTGAATTTCTCCACCTGTAGAATATTCTGCTCAATATAAACAAGAGCTATTTGGTTTATAAGAAAACACAGCCTAAAGAAAAACAAATTGATTGTAGACAAAGCCAGTAATGTGACATATTGGAAAAGGCTTATTATTCAAACAGTTCTTTGCATTCTGTCTCAGAAGGCTACAACAGCCTTTTTTTTTTTCCTATAGAAAAATGAAACTTTTTTTCTTCATTACATAAATTATGAATGATAGTAGATTATTGTAGGTTTGTCTTTCTTCTTCAGAAAAAAAAAAAAACAAACCAAAAAAACACAGCAAAACCAAACCAAACCCACAAAAAAACCCTAAAAAAAAAGCAGTTTCCCCTAAGTATTTTACAGAGAAAAAAAAATCTACTTTATTACTTAGATATTAATGTCATTAATTATCTAATAAGATGACACATTGGAAACTAAAGTATTAGATTAACTTGAAAAAATGAGATTTAGTAAAGGAATTGTTAGGTAACACAATTTACTGAGTGAGCAAAGAGAAAAGAAGCCTAGAGAAAGCATCCTGGAGGAGTGGAGCCCCAGACTTTCAGGCAATTTTATGCCATGTATTGCTACTGCTCTTGAGCAGGGTGTTGGAATGGAATCATGCAGCACATTGAGGGTGGGGAACTTATTAACAGAGGGGACTCTAGGGCCTTGAGAAGAAGAAAATCAGCAGTATAAAACTGAGTTTTATACTTCTCAGCTTCCTTCTAGTGAATGGGAACACTCATTAATTAGGAATGACAAAGTAGGGAAGAGTGCAGGGTGCAGGGCTTGTGTCTGACCACGAGCCCCCCCTGGAACAGTGACAGGCAAGAGAGGAGGAGGACACAGCCCCAGCTCATTGTGCTCAGAGAATCCTCTCCAGACCAAGAGTAACAACCACAGAATTACTCCAGCAAAACCCAAATAGTGCAGAGGGCTGGGCTACCACACTCAGGCAAAAAGTGAAACATGAAGAGGAGACAGAAACCAGCATGATGGCAGGAAATCCATTAATTATTACTGCTAAGAGTGAGAAAAATTTGGTACTCTGTCTAAGGAGGCAAAACCTGAAAATGGATAGGATGAGCATGATTCAATGATGAGCACTGGGCATGAAAAATTATTTCAGTGAAAACAGAATGTTAGCACAGAACAAAATGACCAAGTTTAGTTCATGTGTACCCAAGGCAGCAGCAATGCTCTGAGTTAGCTTCCTACTCATTAAAGGACATGGGGGATATTATATGAATTTGATCAGTTTGTGAAAGGGATTTTAGGCTATAACAGCTGCCATAGTACTACTACAGAGAACTTCCAGTTCCTTTCACTCTAATGTGAGGTAAAAATACTAAAAGGGTTTAGAGCTATAGCTTTTAGGACCATCAGTGTCTGCTTCTTTTCTGGAAATCCAAATTCCTTTGAGCACACACAGGATGTCTTACTCTTCCTTAGTATCTCAGAGTGCACTTGTAAACTCCTGAAACCTGAAGAACAGGAGGGAATGTAATGCTCAGTAGTTAAACTGGAAAACTTCACTGCTTGCACACACACAAAAGCAGAACAAAATTATCTGGTCAGGCATTAAACCTGAGCATTGAAAGCCTGCAGGAAACCCTAAACAACACTGACTACAAAGCAATTATTTTTCAGATTTTATTTGGGGGAACTATAAGGGAGCAGGGGACTGCACCAAGGATTTTAATTGTATCATTCACTTGGCTGAATGATCTTTCCCAGGTGATAAATTTAAACTGTTACAGGAAAAAATCTCACTGCACAGAGAGGAAAGAAAGCATGTCAGATAAATTGTAACTTCATTTAGAATGTCCCCACTAGTGGGAAATGGTAAGAGGTCTGTGATACCTGGAAGTGTAATTCTTATCACATTGCTGCAGAAACTACACGGTAGAGACAACATGGTGCATGAAGAGAAGCTATGAATCCTGCTTGAAAATGGAGATGGGATTAAAATTGCAGGGCTTTTCACAGCTTGCTCTTCAATCACTGGATCATAATGAACATTGGCTCTGCAGGGGAAAATATTTCTGCCATTCCATATCTGCCTACAAATACTTAGTACTGCATGGAAAGTTAATGGGTTAAGACAGAATCTGTGTATATTGGCTTCTTCATAAAAGCTGTCATTTAGTGAGCAGAATTACTTGTGCTTTGTAATAAACAACCACTGACTGCTCTTTTTGCCACTACTGACAATGTGCTGGCTTACGATTTCTATTTTACCTGCGAGTTATTCAAAACCTCCTCTAGAAACAGCTATTAAATTCTTCCTGATTTCCTAATGAATACATATTGTAAATTCCTGTGAAGAATCTTCATTACTAGCATAAGAAATTAATAGCACTGACTTTAACAGGAGTATGTGACATGAGGTTAAATTACATCTAAAGCTAGTAAAAAGGTATTGTATGAAGTCTAACAATGGAAATGTTGCTTAAATAATTTTATAGTTTTGAAATTCGTGAACAAAGGAATTAAACCAACAATAACAAATTGAGGGTTCGGTTTACTAAATGATCAAACAAGTATGTACAGCTCTTCATATAAAAAAGCACAAAGCTTACTAAAAGCATCTTTTATTCCTGGTAACACTTAGCAGTCTACCTTTTTTTTACTGACATACATAGTAATATTTAATAACCAACAAAAGGAAAAGGATTACAGTTTCTCTTTCAGAGAAAAAGAAGAATGAAAAATTGAACACATCAGTTTTAATGTATGTACTACAAACACACTATTGCTGCACAAGGGCACTTAAAAGCTCTTGCTTTGCCAAAATAAGAACATCTAAAGTACAACTGAAAGAAAATGTAGGTCTCTGTCCAAATTTATGAACTTTCTATACTTATGACTAGAGGGAGAATAATAACAAATAAACTGCAAATATTTAGCACTGAGGTATTCAGCAGGCAAGAGATCAGCATAGGCAGGTATTAGATCTGCAAGAGCCTTCCTGGCTTGCAGGGAAAATGCAGCTGCACCTATCTTAGATATAATTATATATAATTACACTGAGCCATCAAGCTCTTGGCCAGTTGTCAAAGAACAACTTTAGGATACGAGGGCTGAGTTTCTTGACCTTTCATTCAAAGAAATAAACAAGAAAAGAGGGGAAAAAAAAGCAAGAAGCGTTTTGCCAAGCAGAGACAGGTACTGCTCTCACCTGTGCCCAGGGCCTCCTCGGTACCTGGCCCCCGGGATGAGGACAGGGTCGTCATCGCTGTCGTCGGTTTCCTGCAGGGCCGAGCTCCTGGTGCAGGCCTCGTCCGCAGCCGCCAGCCCCGAGGATTCCGGCTGCGACTGGGGCTCCTCGCTGCCCAGAGGGGTGCTGGCACTGGGGACAGTGCTCTGGCTGCAAATGTCTTGGTTTGCACCCTGTTCACAGGAGGCTTCTTCCTCTGCATTCCCAGACACAGCATCAGCACTGGGGCCTTTTTTTTCTGGTTGAATTCCGGAGTGCTCAGGAGCAGGTTTATCTGATACTGCTGAAAAGCAAATATTGGGGAAAACAAGTCACACCATTAACAATTATAGTCTATTTTAGAAATGGTCATATTTCTATGACCATTAATATTTATTCAGTTAATATTTCATCCTCTACTTATTCCTATAACTATTTGAAAGAGTACAGATACATACTTGCTATGTACAGATACCTACTTGCTTCTGTTGTCTCTGCAGCTTCATCTGTATTTTTCAGCTCTTCAGCAGTTGCATCTTCCTTAAGAGATTCATCAGGAACCCCTAAATTAAGCAATTTAATGGTAAACCACATTATTTCAATTAGATGCACATCTATAATGTAAGCAATTATAAATGAGACCAGGACTCCTGGAAGAAACCAATCTAAGTAATCCACTCCAAAGTCAATGTCTGTACTGAAATCTCAGCTATCAGTCACGTAAAAATCAGTATATATAAATCTACCTAGTTGACCAGGTCAGCACACTAACTAAGAAAAATGTAGTAATTTCTTGCTCCTTAATGTATTTAACAGCCTATGCTATGAGAACTTCAGCAGTAAAAATAGCATTTGTACTCTTAACACAGACACTTACTATTATTTCTGAAGACAAATGAAGTTATCAGTCTATTAAGAGGGATTTATTTTTTTTAGTATTTCTCTGGAACTAGTCATTTAACTTGACTGCCCTTTTGGCAATGAACTGAGCAAGACAAACACATTTAATAAAACGCAGTGAAAGCTTGAAAGAAATGTAACAAAATTCCAAGCACTCATTTATGACTGCAAAATGCAGTTGTTCTATTTTCCTATACAAATCGAGGCACAATATGCCCCTAAGAAGAATAATGTTTTTAGAACTAAAGACAAGGTAAGTTAATGTTTATATTTATTGCAGCTATCTCAGGTTGGTGTTTTCTTTCCTAAAAGAATTCATGCTTTACTATGGCTGTGTTCTGCCTTCATGTGCACATATGAGACTCCCAGTGTGTGCAGTGGGAATCAGGGACATAGGAGGGCAGAATTTTTGCCTTAGCATTACAAATCCCAACATATCTTACTTGTTTCTTCCCCATCTGGCCCTGACTCATCCAAAGCTTTTGTTTTTACAGAGTCTTCTTGGCCTTCCGTTTTGCAATGACTTCCACTCCCTCTAGAGCTTGAATTTATGCTGCTCCTGGCAATGTAACATGAAAAAAGAAAATCATTTAGGATCATGTAAATACATAAATAAATAAATAAGATCATTGCAACAGCACAGCCTGACCAACATTATCTATCTCACTGCAGTAAAGTGAGAGCTCCTGGCAGCAGCTACAACCAGTTCACAGCAATTTCAAAATTCTCTTTTATTGTGTCCATTGCCACTCATCCCACACAATTCCTCTGCATCACAGAACCCTGTTCTCTCCTTCCTATCTTTTTTTTTACCTTTAAAGAATGTCATCATTGCTTTTTTAAATATTTTAAGAACTCCAAAGGATTTGCTGTATTTCACTATGTGCCCACTTTTTAGATGTATAAATAATCAGCAATCATCTTAAGAGGTATGACAAGCTATCAACTGAGCACTAATAAATAATGTTATCCCATTCAATTAAAAATATGATTCAGATAAAAGTCTCCAGGTCCTTCACCAGTAATTATCATTCCTGTACCTTTCAAGGTATGGACTTTCAGTTCTCAAAGTTTTGTTATTGCTCAAGATTCACTACAAGCTGGTATTTGACATTTACTCCCCATTCATGTTTAGATAATTACTGTGGGACACCAATTTCTCTTTACAATATAGAAAATGAATCCTTGGGAAATATGTAAAATGTTGTCCTGGATGTCACTGAAATTCATGTTTTTAGACTCTCTAGCAAAGACTTTCAGGAAATGAGGCCTTGTTGCTGAGTCCTCTTAGGTGATGTGGCCTAAAACTCATTAGGGAAATCATTGGACAAAAGCAGAAAAAAAGGCAATTATAAGCATGACTCGCAATAATTTAGACTGTCTCTTTACAAACATCTTCTGACCTGTGTATGTTATTAGCAAATATTTAATATGCTACATTGCTAGAAACAGCACAGATCACGCTTAGTTGAGATTCTTGAGAATTCAGTCTAGACTTCAGGAATTTTATGTCTTATGTTAAATCAGAGCTTCTACTCCTCTTGATGAGCAATATTCTGTATATTCATTGCTGTATCAGATTGGAAGCTGTAGGGAAGTTTTTGTTAGCCCTTTCAGTATTTCTTCTAAATCCAGAATTTTCAGCATTGCTTCTGAATGGCCAGACAAGAAGGATACTGCTAGACACCAGGTGGAGGATTTTTGCTATTTTATGTCTCATCTCTCTATAAACCTAATCACAGCCTAAACAGTAAAATATTTTTTGACTTGTAGGATTTACATGTCTTCCTCTATTTCGTTTTCACAACTTTCAGTTCTCAGATTAGGGAGTTATTTGTTCCAACTGCATCATTTTGGCAGATGGAATTGCATCTTGCTCCTGTTGCTCCACTCTTCAGCACAATGCTTTTAGTCAGCCTTTGAGCTGACAATGACTTGCAACTTTGTCCTACCAGAAAATGCTTTTTCCTCTCACTACCCACACCACACTACCCACCACCAAACTCCATGGATTTGCTGACTGCAAAATTAGGTAAAAGCATCATAGCAAAATTGATTTTTTTAAAGTTTGCTGGATATTGGAGGCAAAATCAGTGTTTTAAGTTTCTAAACTGTGAGAAAGGTGCATGTCTTGTGTCTAAAGCCACAGCACTTAAGAGTGACTAAATGTGGCTGGGTTTTGTGGGTTTTTTCCCCCTCAGTAACAAGGAGCAAGCATTTCTCCTCACTGCCTCCAAATAATTTTGAAAACATAAGCAGAGGAATAGAAATAAGATGAGATAAAATAAGGATGATGGTTGTTCTGGGAGATCCCAAGATGCTCTACTGATAGACTTGAACACAAAGCCAAGTACACAAGGCCATCAGGCACTGTGTGCTCCTTATTTGAAAAGGATGTCACCACTGTAACACCTGAGCAGTCCACAAAGTTGCTGTCTCAGCCTTATGCATTCATCAACACTCCTCAGACACAGAAATATTAATTTCAGTGTTTACAATCAGGAACTGAGTCACAGACAGACTCACTTGCAGAATACTATATGAGAAGTTTGTTAACCCCTGGACTACCATTCCACCCCTGTACTACCCTGCTTTATAAGACCTTGATATTATGCCAGGGCTTGATGAAAATAGCATGTTTCAAACTAGGTTTGCGTTATAGAGATTCACAGTAAATACACAAAAAAGAAGTCTCTTGTATAAATTTCACATTAAAGTACATCTATCTTATGTTCTGAATGCATTAAGACTAGAGCCATTTCAAATTGTGTAGGTACACCTAAAAATAGACATAAACCACAGGGAAAATAATTTACAGCTATGCTAGACAAGTGTTATTGATATGTGCTAATCATGAACTAGTCAAAACCAAAATTAACTTGTTCTTACCACTCATCAGTGAAGTCCAGTTTTATTGTGCTTGTAGTCGTTCCTTCTGTACTGTAGTGCAAACTTAAAACTGGTTCACCTGTTCCTGTTCGTGTCTTATCACTTTCTGCAAATATGGGGTTGATAAAGGTTGAACAGGCATTAGAAATGTACATAAAGTTGCTATAATTCTGAAGATTAATTTCATTATCAAATGTTGTAGTAACATATATAATGTCTGTTTAAGATCTCTTACAGCCCAAGCAAAAAAGTTAAAAAGTTCTAGAGTAAACACACCAAATTTGCAATGCTTGTAAAATGGTCTAACATTATATGTAATTATAAAAGCAAACAAAGGAGATGCTGTCCTTCAACATGCAAGTAAATAAAATTTCAGATAGATATGTACACACAATATAATCATTAATAAGCAGATCAATTTTATAGCAAATATATTAATAGGATTATTTTTAAGTGGTATGCAGTCTTTTTGCCTTAGTAAATACACATGAAAAAAATATTATCAGATCTAGACATTATCAGCCTAGAAAAATCACCATCCTCTACTTTGTTGCCTGCTTAGAACCCAGATGACTACCAGTACCCTTAACCTGCTGTAAATTGTCAGTCAGTTGTCATAAAAATACTGTAAATTCATGTTTCAACAGTTTTATGCTTAAAACCCTATTTTATATTATAATAACTGCAAGCAGAAGGGAGCACTTGCAAAATGGGCTCATTCATGGTTTCCAAAAGCAACAGAAGTGAATGGAAAACCACAGCATACTGGCCACTCCTCTGCTGCAGAAATGGTTCTAAAGATGTTAATGGGCTCCTTCAAAAGACAGCTGCTCAATGACATCCATCCATCCATCCATCCATCCATCCATCCATCCATCCATCCATCCCCTTGGAGTCAAGTTCATGGTCACCACCTATCCACAAATGGCAAGTTTGCCATCAGTCCTGAAGTTGGGCAAGACTAAAAAGTTCATGGAAAGCAGCATCAGATGGAGCCTCGCTACAGAGGTGCCATTCTCTCAGACCTCAGAGGGAAGGTTTATTTAGTGTATTCAAATACATTCAAATGGCCACTAAAAGTCTCTGCAGTCTTGCTTTTCCTGACTACTGAGCCTTTTATCTCAGGATTATTTGGACAAAATCGTCTGTCCTTTCTTTAGTTTCTAGAATACAGAAATGGGACTATAAATATCCTTGCAGTATTGGCAGCACACTGACAAGTGTAATAAAGGAAAAGCTGCAGATCATCTTTGTGGAAGTCAGTTAAAACCTAACATTGCATTCAAACACAAGCCTACAAATTTCCCCACTAAAAAGGCTGTTGTCATAACAGTAATGGCTACAATGCTGGCACAGGATACTTAATTCTGAAGAATTAATACAATTAAATTATAGCAACTATGAGATAGCACATCAGAATTTAAGCTAACAATCAATGCTCATATTTTTAAACTGCTGACAGGCAGAAGCCCACTCACAGGATCCAGAGCAGTGATCAGCTGTGCCAAAGAACTTTAAATATGCACTTCTACATGTTCTGAAGAGAAATTTAAAAATCCAAAACATACCACAAAAACCCTGAAAGAACAAATTAGAATACTTTTTTTTTTAAATGAAAGAGAATTAACCAATTACAACCATGACCCTAATAATGCACAAGGTATGGGCTCCACGCCATGGGAAGAAAACCTTATAGCCCCTTTAAATTAAGAGTTCAAGTTACATTCTTGTTAGAGTGGAGCAAGGATAAAACTGATTTAAAGAAAGTTTATTTAAGGAACAGGAAACCTAAGAAACGTAAGGAAATATTTTTTAGTGCTATATGGACAGCTTGAACAAAAGTGACATTCTTTCTTAACTAAACGGGTGCTTCCTCTATTTTTTGACAATCTATGATTTATAAAATCTCTTTTTATAAATGTCTGTTCAGACTTCAAACACCCCTTCCTCAGCAAGTAGAAATATTGACTGATCCCACATACTGCACAAGTCACCAGGAACTGACACTGGAAGCCAAAAGTGAGAGTGGGAGAATTCTTCAGCTTCCTTTTAACAGCCTCAGACAAGACAGATCTTTGAGTTGGGAACCCAGCTAAAGACAGACAATTTCCTGCTGTGAATAATCCAAGACAACCCCCAAATAATGACTTTACTCATGGACTTCCTACTGCTGTGCAAGGTTGGCTTCAGCACAAAACCACTTAATGCTGCCAATCAAAGTAACCAAACTTGGCTATCTACAACGAGCCTAACTGAATACCAGGATTGTCTTTCTTAAAATGTCAGTGCCTGAAAATCTAACCAAGATGCATAAGGACTGGCTACAATTACTCTGGAAGCAATGCTCATATTTGTCCACACCCAAAAAGATGGAAGAATTGCTGCAGACTTCAGAGGGCACTGACTGAGAAATTATTTTTACAAGTTTCTGGGAACAGATAGCTGTTAAACCATACTGGACAACAGAATACTCCTAAATCTACAATAACATAATAACATGAACTACAATTTGGATGGGGTCAGTTTCTTCTTTCAAGTAACTTTAGGGCATAACATAAACACTAATAAGAAAAAGAAACTTTAAAAAAGACAGATGAGAGAAGAATCCGATAATAAACTGCAGAGAATTAGCTGTGTGGTTCAATATTTGATATTGAATTTAAACTGCTAATGAAAGTTGACTGGGAGCCTCTGTGAATAAAATGCTTTGCTTCCTACACAACTGAACATTCTTTCAGTTATGAAAGAATAACAAACTCTACAAACCTTGAACTCTGTTTTCTGGGAGAAATGTGATGGCTTAAGACTGCCCAGATTAGAATGAAGCTCTGCTCTCTTCCTCTACTAAGTTCATCCCATCAGGGCAGATCTACTTCACACTGATAATGAAGGGAAGGAGAGGAAAATGGTCCAAATTCTGTGATCTAGGCAATTCACAGTTTATTAATCTGGTTGCCAACTCTATCAGAGTAATCACTGCTACAAGAGAAAGCTGTAGCTTGTCAACACTTTACTAAATTTTATTCTAAATCCTTCAAAAATACCTTGAAACTTTGCTTAATTTTACAGCCAAACACAAGATATTTTGAAGATACTATCAAGAGCTTTCAGTTATTTCATAAACACTGTCCAAAGCATACTCCCATTAAATGGTCCATTCTCCAATTGCCTACAGCAAGAAGACACTTTTAAACTACCACTCTTAAAACTGAAGACAAAATTTCATTCATAACCTGACATGAAAAAGAAAGCCACAAACCAAACTGCACAACTGACAGCAACAACCTTCAGACCCACTTTTTCACTTAGAAAATGAACCTGTGCAAGTGTAACTTCACAGACACTGGGGCTCTCAACCATAAAGAGTAAGTGCATAAGGACAAGTTGACAGATTGCATTTCCTAATTAAACTAACACTGTAAGGAACTTCAAGCCAGTTTGCCACATCTCAAATGCTGCCCTGTTCATTCATCTATTGGCAATCTCATGAGAAGAGGATAGATAACTTCTCATTTAAAAAAACTCTAAAATAATTCCTATCCAGCACTATATTCTGTGTGAAGACCTAAGAGAGATACTTCTGGAAGGGGGAAAAATTGATCCAAAGAGGAGAAGATAAGTTGTGTATTTTAGAAAAATAGGAATTCTGTGAGAAGGCTTTAACATGGGAAATTTAATCAGGCCTCAGATTCCCTCTTTAGTCATTCCAACTCAGGCAGTACCTTAAAATCCTAACACTGCAATAGATCTAAAGGCCAAGCCAACCCTCCACTATTACAGTCACAGCCTAAAACATTTTTAAAAAGTCAAGTGTAGACGGCTGTGATCCATTTGAAACCATTTTGTACATACAGCAATGACTTTTGGGTTCTGCTGGACTGTCAGACTGCTGGCATTATAAATGTACATGATTGCAATAAGAATCAAAAGATCTTTAAACCCCAAACTAGTCTTAAAACATGAATGCCAACAACAGAGACAGGTCCAACAGAAGACAGCTGATTCAGTACTAAATTAAGAGAAGGCAGCAATAAGAAGGAAAGGTAATTCTCTATGAAAAGAACTGTTATGACTTCCTTCATTAACTACTTACATTATTTTGAGACTTCAAATAGAAGTGAAACTAATGCAGTTAAATTTCAGAAATTCAACTGGATCTCAGCAAACTATTCTTTCTGCTTATCATTTGAACAAAATATTTCCTAATAAATTTGCTCCTTTTTCAAATTCCTAGTTTTACAAATTAGAAGTAACATTGTCTGCTAACAAAGCAGAAAAACATTGCCTTAAAACAACTGGAGAACTGGTGAACTGAAAAGCAAATGTATTTTGGGTTGGGGTTTTTTTGCATATTAAAAAACCTGAAGTGATTCTATAAGAGGGAATCTCTTAGTTCAGGTAACTTGATACAGAAAAAAAAACCAGTTTTCCTAAATTTTTAGTTGTAAGAATCTTAAGAAACTTACAGACTTTCTATGTTAGTTCCAGGTTATTCTACTCTGATCAAATAATGCTTTATTCTGAGCCCAGAACAGAGAGCATAACTTGGCCACATAACCATAAGCAAGGTTTCCATCTAAACCTGATTGTTGGAGTGATCAACTAAACCATGTTTAACTGCATTAGTTTCACTTCTATTTGAACTTCAGAAATTCAACTGGATCTCAGCAAACTATTCATTCTGCTTATCATTTGAACAAAATATTTCCTAATAAATTTGCTCCTTTTTCAAATTCTTAGTTTTACAAATTAGAAGTACCATTGTCTGCTAACAATGCAGAAAAACATTGCCTTAAAACAACTGGAGAACTGGTGAACTGAAAAGCAAATGTATTTTGGGTTGGGGTTTTTTTACATATTAAAAAACCTGAAGTGATTCTATAAGAGGGAATCTCTTAGTTCAGGTAACTTGATACAGAAAAAAAAACCAGTTTTCCTAAATTTTTAGTTGTAAGAATCTTAAGAAACTTACAGACTTTCTATGTTAGTTCCAGGTTATTCTACTCTGATCAAATAATGCTTTATTCTGAGCCCAGAACAGAGAGCATAACTTGGCCACATAACCATAAGCAAGGTTTCCATCTAAACCTGATTGCTGGAATGATCAACTAAACCATGAATAATTAGCAAATTTACACACTGAGTTTTAAGGCTATTTCATCACAAAATGTATTTCCACAAAAAGAATTCATTTTGTCAAGGGGCAGCTTGATTTTTTTCCCCACCATTCTGGCATCCTAAAGTAAGCCACAATCTCAATAGTTGCCAAACAGACTATTTTTCAGAAGTGGGATTTCAAAATGGCTTTCTAGTTTGGAATGTGGAAGAAGACAGAGCTGTTTTGTGGGATTTAAGCTATTAAACCTCTACAGACGCTTTGATATGGAAGCACAATGAAGAGTGTATGGCAATCTCTTTTTAAATTAGCATCTATCACTCCTTAATTATTCGGCCATAAATATTCTCTACAGATGACATTGATGCAGCTGGAATAGGGTCACCTCTGGCCCACTTCAGTGCTCACAGTTCGCAGACTGATGCATAATGGGCACAGAGAAACCTCCCAAGCATTCTGTCCATCCCCAGTCCACAGGGATACTACAAGAAACACCAGTACTTGTTCAGCAGGAGGGTGAAGGACAAGGAGATACAGAGGGAAGATGCACCTCAGTGCAACGAGTACTCTGGAGTTACTCAAACTGCAGGAATCACAAAGCTGCACATCACTCATGGATAAGAGAAATTAATGTGGCATTATAAAATTAAAGGTTATTGCAATCTTGATATTTGCCCTTTGATTAAAAAAGAACCATTCAGAAAAAACCCAACCTGTTTAAATAATTAATTTTACTTTGCATTTTACAAAAATATTCCAACTGTCCGTAGAATACATGAGACATTTACTGTACCTACACTGAACCGTAGTAATTGCATGAAGAATCGAACTTAGGATGGCTTCAAAAACAACAATTAACCTCACTCTGTTAATCATATTGATCATTAAATAATGAGTTTCCAGCAGATCTGCTTACAGAATACTACTATATGTGGATGAACAGCATTTTTAGACTGTTTTTCATCATGAAAAGCAACTTTAAAAGAAGCATTGCAATCAGCTATGGCTGGGTATAGCGCATTTCCTGTCACACGCACCCTGTGGCTCATCAAGTGACATGGATCCAAGCTGTTTGTTAACCACTGAAGAAGGAGAATCTGAAACAAAAACGAGATTTCAACTTAAAACATAAGCAGCAGAGAACTGCACAGCAATGTCACGATCATATGTTAGTTTAAAATAAAAAAGCAGCAACATAAGGAAGCTTTGGGTTTGTTTAATGAGCAGCCAGCCATATTGCATTTTCTAGGCATGACAGAAGCAAAGCCACTTGTTTCAAACCATTATTTATTCACTGAGCAGCCTGAAGCTTGCTGACATGTTGATAATGAAAGTGCCTGTCCATTACCAAATATTTTACTGTGTTCTTCACACTTCTGACATGTCAGGAAAAACACTGAAGAGTCATGACTCCTAAAGCCTTTGCTCCAGCTACCAAATGACACCAGTATTTCACACCATGTGCAGAATGTACATTTCACAATATTTATCCTTCAGCATAAAATTCTCCACGGCATACCAGTACCTCCAATATTTAAATACTCTTTTAATAATAATGTTTTAGAACATCAAAGCACCAAAATACATCCTACTTATATGACAGTTTGGTAGTTCTGCATTCTTAGATGCTGGACCTCTGATGACTGAGAACAAGTCTTGATGAGTTTATCACAGTACCACACCCGTCAGTCTTACAAGCATCCCCATCAATCACATAAACAAATAAATATAATAATCACCCCCCTCAGCAGATAAGTGCCTTTTTTCCCCGGACACTTCCAGTTAATAACTACTATAACCAGCAGCACTCATTCATTGCACAGACACAACAAATGCAATAGTCAATATTTTCTGTGAGTCTTATTTCCCTTGTCACCTCTGAAGACCAGATCTTACTTCTACATTATTTGAAGATGAGCTGATGTACATAAATTAATGCAGTATTCTAAAGATATTGGCTAGAGTATCATATCTTGGTTCCACTTGATAATCATCTATTATAAACAAATTCATCCTAAACTAAAAGGATTTAATATCCTGTGTTACAAACTGAGTCACAGTCCGCCAGCATCACAGCATGCTAAGTGACTTTTAACATAAATGTAGATCCCATATGAGGAAAGCAATGAAATAATACTCTCTCCTACAGGAAGCTCCCATCCAACTTTGAGCAAGAATCACCAGTGAGACCTGTTTTGTAGCACAGCCATAAAACCTGCTAAATTGACCAAGCTACTTTAAATACATATATTCTCAAGCAGTTGTTCACTCCCAGCCACTGGTGGAAACATGGCAGTGTGCTCCTTTGCCACACTGATATCCAGGTGCAGGGAAGGGGAGGAGGAGCAAAGGAGAGAGACCAGGAAAGTCTGAGGCAGTGTGTTCTGGAGGCTGCCTTGTTTTGGGAACTGGGCTTGCACAGCTTATTTCTGTAACTGAGGAACATTAAATTGGTTCTGGCTTGTCTTCCTTGCTCAACCATGCCCATGCCTTGCACCAAACACACCTAAGTCACACCACAGAATTTATCATCTAGATTTATGGCATGTAGCTATTAAGTAGAAGATTTACATCATTAATATATTTTACTTTCCAAAAGTGAAGTGTGCTTTATATAAAATATCTAAATCAGAAGAGAAGGATTTACAAGGGAGTTTTTCAATGGACTAATAAGCCACTTTTTAGAAGGTAAATCAGAGCAAAAAGCTGGTGTACAAATGTTCCACATCATGAGATGATCTCCTTGTGTTCCAGCAGACTCAGCACAGGAATCTGTGCCTCTTTCCAGGGCTGGCTTTGATCTTGGACTCACAAAGTCCATGGCTGGGATTAACTTGTATCAGAAGGGCTAAAGGGAGGGCAGGTCCTGGACTGCAAGCCGAGAAACCTAATGCATGACAGTGATCCCAGCCATGCTCTGTTCCTGCACTCCAATCCTTTCCAAAAGCTCATATGCCCTTGTTTAAAAGGTTTTGTGCTGCCAAATATTTCACTTGGCTGGAAAAGCTCATCTCATCAACTCTGTAATTCAGACCTGTATGATCAGAAGACTGAACTAACATATATTAATTAGAAACATTAAGAAATTACATCTACTACCCTTACCATCACTCCTAATTTTATTAAGACCTCACTCTATACAGCAGTAGGTAAAAAAGTAGGTATGTTTTGCCATGTGCATCATTCAACCACAGTAAGTGGAAAATGGAAAGGTTTCCAGCTAGAAGTCCATGCCAATGGAGGCTTAAACCTCCCACATCTCACTGTTACACCCACGTCTCCATACAACTTTGTGAACGCATTTCACTTTAATAAATGAGTATTTAACCAACATATAGGAAACATCCTAAATACCTGAATTAGCATGGTTAAGAACAGAGTTGCTTGTAGCAATTTAAAACCTTGTTTCCTTTTCCAAGTACCTTGAAGCCACAGATCACCAGCACCCCCTCAAGTGGCTCTGCAGTCTGGAACCCATACCTCAGGCAGGGAAATCAGCATGACCATGAAACCAGCCTAGAGAAGTTCAGGTAAATGCCTCTTTTTTTAATATATGGCTTTGTTTTGTAAAAAAAATCAGAAAAATATACTTTCATAATTTCTTATAAAGCTTTTGAAAAAAAAGTATTACCAAAACTGTGCCATATAGTTAAAAAAACAAACAAAAATCCAAACTCTTACCTGAGCCTTCACAGGCTGGGTCTACATCCCAATGCAGTTCACCACTGGTTGTAATGTCACCAGTACATTCTAAACTGGAGCACCACTTAAAGAGGGAACTGGAGATTCATAAATTTGGGGAACCTCAAACAGAAAATAGAAGATAATTTTAAGGTCAGTTATATGCTGAAGGATCTTCCTATAGTTTGGGCAATCAGCACCTGACTTCACCAAAATATTAGCATGCCACCTCAGTTTTGGTTGGAAAAAAATCTTCCTTGTATCACCAGCTGGAGGGTGAGGTCTAAAGCAGTGAGAATTGTTTTAAAGTCTTAAACATGATACATGTAGAGGAATCTATGAAATTAAATACTTGATTTAATAACTATAAATGGTTGCTTTGCACAATTAATATGCTCTCACATATTGTGCACTTCAAATATTATTTCTACATCTTCAAATAAAATTTCTACATTTGATTGTTAGCAAAGAATCTAATGATAAAAACTGCTGTCATTCCCTTGCTCTTCTCCAAAAGCTTTAACACAGAAATTAAGGTCCAGTTTGCTCTGCTTTAAAGATTCACTGTATAGATCAACCAAAAGCTTAAAAAAAAAAAAAAAAAGGTCGATTTGCAGCACAGGTTCTGCACTATGCCAGCATGCACCTGTATATATCTGCATTCCACAGCAAATGCAGTATAAATCAATTTTTTTTCCTCTGGAAAAAAAAATGTTAATATTGATTCATGGTTTTGTGCGTAAGATTAGGTACAACGACCACTGCAGGAACCCTTGATCTATAATATGTTTTTTCTTTTTCACTTCATGATCAGCTGGTTCATGTTTCTGTTACTTTTCAAACTGAATTCCATCTCCCTGAAATTCTCAGAATGAGAAGTGATGTAGTCATGGTAATGCATATGTGGCATAGCAGCAATAACAACAGGTTAAAAAGGTTTACTTTCTTTGTTGTTTGCATACAGCACATAAATGCAGTTGTTTAAATACTGCACTGGATCTAAATGTTATGAAATGCCACAAAAATGCAAGTAAAAACTTGAGCTTTTGAGGAAGAAACCATACAATAGATAAAAATCCAAACTAAACTGAAATATTTACCATAGTTCCCTAATTAAATAAAGTGGCAACTAAAAATATCTAAATCCATTCAATACCTAAGCAAAGACTTGAAGACAAAATAGACCTGATCCATGCAGCACACACTTTTTCTAAAATTCAGCCAAATTCCAAATTTAGACAATAATTAAGAGGGGTATTTCTCTAGAACTAATTGACCAAACATATTAAATATTTTCAAATTTAAATTTCTCCTTTTATAATTCCACTGCCTATACTGCTGAAGACAATTCCACCCCCCAGACCAAACCTCAAGAAGACACATCCTAATGAGCTGGAGGTCAGGGAGAAAAATGGTTCCCCTTTTGTCTCCCCAGAAACAAATGTTTCCACAGCACTGAGTAAATCTGTCTTTCAAAGCAATTATTCAGTTGGTAAAATGGTTAAATCTGCAAATTCATTGTCATGTAATTCATGATATGACAATGTAAAATGTAAATGTAAATTCATTTGCATGTAGAAAGACATAAATATTTGAATATTAGTTTCCTCCAAGGCTGTGTAGGTGGCTCCTGGTGATCCCCAATAAAAGGACTGGATGTTTCCAATAGTTGTCTTAAAGTTCTAACCATGTGGGAACTCAAATAACTCCAAGAGACAGTGTTGGAGGGGGTCCAAACTATGTACAAGACCCCTCTGCCTCCCAGTCAAAGAAATTACTCAGCTTAAACCTTTCCATTTGTGGCACTGTGGATCCTACAGTGTGCTGTAGGAACCCCACAGGCAATGGGGAGTAAAAAAATTACATTGCATCCTTGAAGGAGCACTAAGGAAGAGATGGGAGAGATGTAGCAAGTGAAACCCAGAACAACACACCCTTCAGAGATAGTCCAACCCACAGATAAACCTCCAGACATGGCTGTAAACAAACTTATTTCCTACTTCAATTCAGTGGGAAGCAATTTAGCAAAAAAAGAAAAAAAAATCAAAAATTAAACCATTCTGAAAAGGAAATGGAAGATCAAGATTTACTGACTGTGTTACAATTTTTCCTCTATCAATACTTATATTTGAGTTAATAAATTCTGATATTCAGTTTGCTGGGAAAAAAAAAAAGACAAAACCAAAACTGGTAGTTTTTTGGCTTTTTTTTTTTTTTTTTTTTTTTTGTTTTTGTTTTTGTTTTTTTTTTTTTTTTTTGTCCTGGCAGGAAACTGCAGCCCCCTCCGAGGTCACCACTACCACTGCTGTTCCTGTTCTCCCACAGGTAGACAGGCACCCATGGTTACCATCCCTAAGACAGGCACACACCCTCCCAGGATGTACTGGTTTCCAAAATACTCTAAAACCTCACTGCAGTATTTTCTAGTGTAGAAAGTTATTCACAATTCAGTAACTGCATATTGTGACTAGAGCATCAGCCACTGTTACATCAAATTGTTCTGTAGGGCTCCAGATTATGGAATAGACTAAGCCATGGCAAGACAGCTGTAAATGTGTGACACTATGCTTAAAAGCAATTTAGCCACATCTCAGCTGTCACAGGATTTATCCACAGAAGAGACACTGCTAGACATGACTTTGCAACACAAAATACACTGAATTCTCACACAGCATGCAGCTCACTCATTTTCACATGGTGCCACGACAAAGTTTGCTTCATGTTTATGCTTTAGGGTTTGCCTCTTTATTCATATGCATGCTTCTGCCCTAACCTTCTCAAATATGTTATTGCAAACATATTTGAGGCTTCTTGTAATCATTTTTAATTTCAGTAAGACAAGAGAAAAAGAGGATGGTGAAATGAAAAGTTGCTCTATTCAAAAAAAGGAGAGCATATCTGGGGACTTTGGCTAGGTACAAGTATTTTCACTACACTTATTGTAAAACCATAGCACTAAAGAGTGCCCAAACTCTGTTTTACTGAATTGTTACTCTGATTTAGAACACATGCTAACCCAAAGCCAAGTCATAAATGTTACTGTCGGATACAAGTAGCACCAAAATGCAGTTTCAGTGTGCAATTCTCCTTCTACTCAGAACACAGCAATTTCTTGCTCAGCTGCTCTAACCACCATTGCACAAGCCTGATACCATGCACCTAGAAAACCATTTCCACGTAGTGTCACTCAACCCAAACGTGTTAGATCAATAAACCTGTCCATCCAACTGTTTCCCTGACCATGTGATGATAAACACCACCACATGCAAGGCAAGACAAGCAGCGAATGCAGGAAATGCCTTGTTCTGGAGGAGAAGCATCTCAGCAAACAACAGCAGCACAAACTACAGCTACATCATCTGCTGGAGAAACCTTGGCAAGTGACAACCTGCTGCCTGAGGGTCCTGTGAGGAGCCCTTGGGGGTGGCCTGCTCAGAAGAGGAGGGCTGTGGTGCAGAACCCTCAGCCAGCTCTCGCTGTCTCTGCTGCTCTGCCTTCTTAAGCCGCAGTCGCTGCAGGCCCCTACGGATTATTGCTAACTCGGGTCCCATTAACTCTGACAAAGGGAGGGGAGACAGAGAAAGGGGGGAAGAGAGAAGCATTGAGCAATCAATATATAGAACAGAGAGGAGGGGTGGGGTTACTGACCAAAGAGACAAGCAACAGGTACTAAGTGTCATTGCAGTAAAAAAAAAAAAATTACTAACAGCCAGAAATCATGAAATAGAAATATTGAAATTGGTTTTCTCTTCCTAAAGGCATCAATCACAGGACTTAAATGTCCAGGATTTGTGCTATACAGTACAGTCCCCTCCCCATTTCCAGCAATGAAACCATTAAGCAAAGAATTATTTAAGGAAAATAGATACAGCCTGGTTAAATCAAACAAAGCACACAACAGATACATTCATTTTGATGTTCCTAACACACAGAATAAATGAGAATATTTGGCGTAAAACTATGCAACTGTGGTCTGCAGGTAAGGTTTCAAAATGAATGCAATAGCTTCCTGGTGGTTCCAAAAAAGGTACATTTTGATCAAACCAAACCAGTGCAAAAATTAAACTGGAACTATGGAAAGAGGTGGCAGAACAACAGCTAAACCAAAAAAACAGACTTCTCTATGAACTCATTTTTAATTTCAGACATTCCCTGCAGTTGAGGATTCACAGTCTGAAATCACTGCTAAGTGGTCCTACAGACAAAGTAATTTATAGGATGAAAAGCAATTCTTAGTAGCATCCTCTTAATAGATTATTCTTTTAGTCCCATCTTTAGAGGCTTCACTGTTTTCATCATTTTGTCTTTATTCATTTGCCAGTTAAACTGTTTTGGCATGTGAAGTTCATTGCCTGATTACCAGTACTTTTGCAAATTGCTATAAAATGAGGTGTCCAAGCAAGTTTTTATTCTTTCCATGCTCTTTGCAGATTTCCTCCACTTACACGAGCGCTGTGTGGCAAGTGATCCTCTTTAAAGAACACAGATTGTGTCTTTAATAGCAGTGCCTGAATCATACTGAAATGTTAAAATAGTAGAGAGCATTACATTAGCAGGGGGCCTTTCAGCCAGGCAAAAGCTTAACAAATATTCTGTAACTCTTATCCACACAGTGAAACAAACAAATCTTAAATTTTCTTTTATAAAGAGAAACAAACCCAAAACCAGAATCCAGCAATTGGAAAGTTAGTGGCAAGCACCAGTTAATACTGATTGGTCATGAGATTTAAGGTATTTAGCCTAATATAATTTATGGGAAAAATATCCTCTCAGTTTATGGTTGATAAGGTGTAACAAAAATAAAAAGATATCGTTCCTAAAATGAATATGGCATCAAGGAGATTTGCTATGAATTGTGTTCATGTCCCAAAACCATTTATGGAAAGAAAAACTCCAAACAGCCCAGGGAATACTTTTATGGGAATTTCAATGATGCTTAAAATTGCAGTTTTCACTACTTGCTGCTGATTCAGTTCCACTGAGTTAAGAGACAGACACAATCTAAGATTTAACAAGAACTACAATATCAAAGCTACTATCCTGGATATGCTCAGTGACAACACCTTTTAATATATTCCAGAATATCTAAGCAAATGTTTATTTTGCCAGCAAATGGAGTGAAGAAATAGAAATAAATAAAAGAAACCCAGTTATTGTCACATTCCCATTCAAAATTTAAAAGCAGTTACCTTATATCAGAACACATATTAGGGTTAAGCTTTGTACTAATTAGCCAACTGGCCCCCTGCATCCCCTCCCCTGTGTGTATCTGGAATTTTATTTATAAGAAAAACTGTATTACATTTTACTCTTTGTTGTACCTAGTGTTTCTTAGTAGTTTAAAACATCAGCATCTTAAAACTAATATAAAAAAAATTAAAGGTTTCCACTGAATGGCACAAGCAGGGCAAGAAAATAAATTTGTTGTATTTTTCCTCAGTGACAAGCATGACAATCTCCAGCAATTGTTCTCATTATATACATATATAAAAAAATTATTCAAATGTTCTGGCAGTAACAGGCTACTGAGGTTTTGCATTGATTTTGTTGTTTAATTGTAACTTAAATGTTCAAACTTCTAGAATACATATTCTGCTAAAGAAATCTATCCCACCAAGACCCAGCACCAAACCATTTCTGTACTGACTCCATTTTGAACGGGCACTTCATCTTTAATATTTTAAAAAGTAATTCAGATATAAAAGCTCAAATGCTCACCACATGACACATTTTCTGGAACACCAAACCAACAATAAATTTTAACTGTATACTCATGCAAAGGTACTTTGATTTCAAACACAGGATTACCATGAGTGCCCGTGTTGAGTGTAGAAATGATTTATGGAAAGCTGTTTACAGGCCTGGGTTCAGAATTCATGCCCTGATTCTAAAGAAGTCATTTCCTGAAAATACATTCTTCATTTTCTGACTCTTTACTACAATATTCAGACTTGTATCTGCCATGACTTTACACAAAATAGTGGCTGAAAACCTTTTTTCCTTCTTCCACCTTCCAACAGTCACCCACCTCTTACAACACACCTCTGTCAGGGCTTCCTACTCAGCCCTACTGTATTTAAACTGTTCCTATTAGCACTTTTCCTCTCCTGTCAGCCCAAAAAAGCAGCAGGTTTTATTCACCTTTAAATGCAGGTGAACAAGCTCAGGGAATCCTGTCCTTGATGTAGAGGACAGTGTTTGCAGGTAGATTTATAGACTACAGAGTGTGAGTAAATAAAATCTCACAACTGAGCACAGCCACAGGTTACCAGGGTACACAAATGTTGCAAAATGGACATTCCCATTGCAGCCTGCTCATTCATAGACTCAATGCTACCCCTCAGCCCAGCAGCTTCCCCTCTTCCTGAACTCACCCACAGTACCCAGAAACTTTCCTTACAGTCACTTCAGTGTCTCTTTTGCATTGCTTCTGAAACAGTATACTTATATAGGTGTGCAAACACCTTGCACTACTACTTTTATGCCTGCATGACTCCCGTAGGCAATTTTAAACTGCCAATCTGACACCCTGCTTAGATTTAGTCAAAGAATCTAACAAATATTATACAGCAAATTAGAAAGTATCCATTGTCTGTCAACCAAACATCACTACCCCTTTCAAAACTAAATCTACTCTGAAGTCCAAAGCAACACTGAGAAAGAAGAAATACTTTTAGAAAAGAGCTGGACTAAGAAATAACTTCAGCATCATGCTAGCAGAATAAACTTTTGCTTAGAAATTCAAGCACATTTAGAGAAAAATATTTTTCTTGTCAGCACAGATTCCTTAAAATGCACGCTAGAAAATGCATCACAATTCCAGAAATCCTCTCTGGTGCATTATCTTTTTGAAACCCACGAAGTTTCAATGACACAGCTTGAAGCAATGATGTTTAATATGGCAGATACTGACTCTGAAGCATTGAGGATGGAGGTTCCTCCTGAAGGAGACATCCTAGACATCCTCTGCCTCCCCTGATTTTAACAGGCAGAGGTTCTGCTATTCATTGCACTGATGCTGCTACAGCCAAATCCCAGTGGAAGAGGGCAAGATGTAACTACACTCCATGAAGACAACAGTAAGTTCAGGAAAAAATAAGCAAAAACTTTTTATTTCTACTTCAAAATACTGATGATCCCCTTGCAAATTTCTTTTTCTGACAAAGGTATAGAGTTGATGGATTTACTCTTTCTTTAAACCACAGCTGCAACCACTAGGTAACTATAAAACACCTAAGTCTCATTAAGGATGTGCAAGGAAGAAAACAGATGGAGATCAATTACCCAAAATATCCTAAAAGAGAATTGTTTCTTATTTTTCACAAACAATGACAAGATGGATTTCTTCTCACCAGACTGATGCAGCACAGGCTGAGTTGAGGCCCCATAAGAAGGCCTTTGTTCATTATCAGGAGAGGACAGTAATGAAGTTGAAGGGGGACTTTCTGTCGAAGATGATGTTGAAGGAGCTTGAGCTGACATGGTAGAAGAGGAAGATGATGGAAGCTGTTCAGAACCATCTACTTCCATTGCAGTTTCTGATTCTCTACTAGGTGCCATGTTATTAGTAGAAGGAGCATCAGTCCGATTAGTCCCACCTTTGATTAAAAACAGAACAAAAAAGCAAGAGAAAGAGCTCAAAAGTAAACTTACTCTGCCTCTAAATATCCCTTTGCACTATCATTCCTAAGGCAAATAAATGTGCTCGTCCTTCAGATGCACTAAAATTTTATTTACACCTAGGAAAGGCTGATATTCCAAGCCTGCACATCCACTATAAACACCATTTCTGTTGTTGAAAAGAAGGAAATCACCTCTGGACCGTGATCTTCCTCGTCCTCGATTGCTCTGTGCAACTTCACTGGCTTCTTCAAACCACCTTGACAGCATATCTGACATCCTCTGCATCAGAGAGACATTGGGACTCTGCTCCCCTGTAGAACAAGTGGTGCTGAAGTTTTATCTGCAAGTTTACCAAAGAAGTACCTTTCCCCCCTCATTTCTTCCAGGAATGGAGACCACCCCTCACCCCCTTCTCCCACAAGAAATAGTTCCCTTCAGCCTGTTCCCAATGCCCCTGTCTATCCTCATTTCCACAGTACAGGTCTCTGACCCTCTGCTGGGATCCCTCATTCCCCTCCTGTACAGCTCTGACCTTCAAAAATGAAAGGCAACAGCCAAAGAAAACAGACTAAAGGTGGTTAAAGATCCCATAGAGAATGTTATCAGTATATTCAAAAAAAAGGTTTCAGAAGCCCACAGGCAACAGAACCACATGCAAATTGTAAAGGAGCAGATGGGATCACACCCCCCAGTGTTTGTAATCCAGTAATTCCAAGTACAGGAGGAGCAAAAAGAAAGACTAAGGTAAGAGAACAGGCCCATGTTCTCTCCCTAAACAGCATCTCCTACTGCCTGTGTCAGGTCAGAATCCCAGACACTTCCATTCTAGTTTGGGGAAGCAGGAAAATGAGAATAACAGCACAGAAAATCTGGAAAGGGAAACTGTGGGCAGAAAAGGGAGGAAGATTTAAGGGAACTAGAGTCAAATACTTGGAACCCCACAGCTTGTCAGATTTAAACAGGAACACATGATAGATGAAAATTAAGATGAGTGACAAAAAAGCAGAGCTCTGCCCTGCTTTGGTATCCCAATTTTTGATACCCAAGCGTAGCTTTGGAAATGCTTTATTTACTAAAATCTCAAGCAATTGAGTAATATATTATAAACATGAAAATATAAGCATAAAAATTAGCCACCCTCTGTTACTAAATGACATTATAAAAATGAAAAGTATAATATTAGAATCCTATTGCTTTGAATTCCAGTCCCCTAATGTAACCATTAAAGAGCATTTCATTTATAATTGTGATTGCATATGAGGTGTGACTGGGAAAAAAATAAGTAAGTCCTGGTGTTAGTCCCTGAGCAATGACAATGAAAAAAAGCTCTCCTTTACTTACATTAGCCTAACTGAAACAATATAATTTTTCTGGTAAGAATATTTTCAATATTTTCAATTTTAAAAATCATTGTATAATAGCAGCTCTCTGCTAAACTCTAAGAAAACCATCTTAAGGCTTGGCTGATTGTTAAAACAAGCACAATCTGAAACACGTATTTTGGGAATACGTCAGAAAAGCTGGGAAATAAAACCCAAACCAAAGCAAGAAAAAACCCAAAAATGAAACAAAACCCCAACAAAACAGAGCAGCAAAGACAACAACCCCCCTTTAAATGCAAATGCTTTTACCATCTCTTTCTCTCTCACTCTCAGGCCTTGCTCTTGGCCCAGTATCTGACCAATCCCCTCTGAGCCGCAGACGTTTAACGGGAGGCTGACGTAGCTGGGGGAGAGAAAAAAGAGAGAAAAGCATCACACAGCTATTTATGTTCTACAGTACAGGATTCTAGCCTAAATATAAATATCTATTTTCTTAAGTCACCTAAATTCATATCTGTCACCAAAACACAGAACGTCAGCCTTATGTTCAGACCATCCATGAATAAGCACAACACTTATCAACAAGATACAAAAGTTTTAGCTTTAACAGCCTAAATTAATTACTCCCAGAACTAATGCAGCTTTTATTTTAAACTAGCATCATAATGTTATGAATCTTTCTATAGTGACCAATAATAATTAAGGTTTCCTTAAATTCAGCCTGAATTCTGCAGAAATAGTCACCTCTTCACATTAAAAACTATATGAGAGTTACAGTTTAGCAAAATGGGGATCTGTAACTAAGCAAAAGGAAAAAAAAAATCAGACATTAAAAAAAAGAACACTTTATGCATATAAACTTTGATTTTTTCACCTAATTTTCCAGTGGGTAGAAATGCTCACTGCACAGCGTGGCTCTTACCTGTTGCCCTTGTGCCAAGCATTCTCCTGTCATAGATCCTCACTGAGCTGTCAGAACAGCCTACAGCCAAGTAGTAGGGGATGGGTGGACAGATAGCAACAGAGGTGGCAGCACGACGACAGTTTATTAAAATATCCTGGAACACACAAAAATGCAACATTGAAATAATTGCTCTGAACATTTGAAGTGTAATTCTTCTCTTTTTTTTTTTTTTTTGGGGTTTTTTTTTTTTTTTGGGGTTTTTTTTTTTTTTTGTTTTTTCCTTTTGTGGTTGTTGTTGCTTTTTTGTTGTTTTTGTTTGTTTTACTACACAGGCCCCTCCCTTAGTCAAGAGGATTTTGAGAAAATACGTCTGGCCTCTGAAGACAGACCATAAAGGTGTTATCAGAACAGCCACTGCACAGAAGGAAAGCTATCAGAGAAAGAAAACTGGTACCAGAACAACTGAAAAAGAAACCTAACCAAAACAAAAACACAGGAACATTTAGAAATAGATAAGCTAAACAGACTTATAAACTACTTTCACCTTGGGTTTTCTTATGGAATATCAGTAAGAGTAACTACGGAGGTGGAAGTGTACTAAATATGCAGAAACAGTTTAAATTAATTAAAGGATCAGAATAGGTTCTATCTACAGGAAGACAACTGGGTAAAGGGAAAAAAAATGAAAGAAACCCCTAGAACTGGTAAATGTGCACACGGCTGAACAAAATCAATCAAGACTAGCAATACATACTTCAGTAATTTTGTTCCAATTCAATATTAAAATTGTTGCTAAAATTCAAACACAGTGGACACTAGTAATACCAGTAATCTAATATAATTCATTACTAAATATTTTCTTACAGAGGCACAAAGGAGGCTCAAGAATACAAGGCTGCAGGTGATTCTCAAGGCTCATTTTTTGCCTCTGTTTTTGCACTCTACATTATTAGTGTAGACCAGACTAAAAGATTCAATTTCAATAGACAATTATATTCTACCATATCTGAAGCCTCACACTGAAGCATTTTTATAAAATCAATTTGTTTTTATAAAATAAAAAATGCCAAAGGAGATACTAAAATTAAAAAAGAAAAATTTAAAAAGACTTCCCAAACTTTTATTGTTTCTTGGGAAACATACTGTCACCTCCACCAATGACCCTGAAATCTATTATTTCTAAAAGCTTTACTAGAATTCATATAATGTGTTTCTGTGATGCACAGCTCTACATTTAGTTAATCTTTATTAAAATATTTTTATCACTATTTTATTCTACCTATTTTATTATTATTATTATTAAAGAAATCTTTATTAAAAGGTTTCATTCTTACATCTTTACAATCTTCCTTTGTGCAACTTGTTTTGATGCGAGTATCAAACCATCTCACGGTACCATCCTCACCACAAGAGAGGAAAGTGTAGGGATCATTTGGTACTGTCATAATCTGCTCAAAAGAAAGAAAATATAAAATTATTAATACCTCTAGAAATAGCACTAATTTAAAAATAAAAGCATCAATATTTGAAGCAGCAGTAAGGCAGTTAGGACTCAAGTCAAACTTTCCAGTGAAGTAATGAGAAAAACTGAAAAACTGATGGTGTCTCCTCATTTTCAAGAAAAGGTTTGAACTGTTGAAGTCAAAGGAAACTTTTAAATATCACATAAGATTAAACATTCATAGATCAAGGCTTACAGTTGTTTCTATTATCTTTTAATGCACAACATACATTTACTGCAATCACTTTTCAGGTAACTTATCAGTTTGCTGCAACAATTCAACAAATGCTCATTTTATTCTCTTTCAAGTAATAGACGACAATTACAAACAAAGTCCTCAGAAGTCTGAATGCCTTGAAAATACTAAATGGCTTTTATTCCCCTTGGGCTGTTCCTTTACATCCTAGGTAGTTCCCTACAGCAAGCTTGCATTAAAGGCTGCTACCAAGCTACCGCCTCACTGCAATTTTTTTTAATTTTTTTTTTTTTTTTTGAGAGAGAGCACTGTACTGAACCATTTTCCTAAGCTCAGCCCTTCTCCAGCTAGGGACAGCTCAGATGGAGTCTCACATGAATGGCTTCACACAAAGCCTCCTCAAGACAAAATAAAAAGGCAAGCGATCATAATGTTAAATATGATCTGAATTCCATATGTCAGTGAATGCACAGGAAATGCCAGTTTACTTACACTCTGTCTCTTAGAACAGAAAACAGAGAAATTTGTGGCAGTATTTTTATTTTCCCACACTCCTGCTACTATCAGTAGAAATTAATAAACTAACAATAATGGTTCATAGTGTAATACATTCATGGAACGTAGAGCATGAGTGATTCTTTAACATTTTAAACGAGATGATTTATCACCCCCACTTCCCAAAATTCTTAATAAAAGTAATTATGGATATCTGCAAATCTCTCTACCTGAAATGGGGTTACAAAGGTAACAGCTGGAGGCTTCAGCCTCTCTTGTAAGGCTCAGCACAGTAACTGAGACAATGCTTGCTGTGCCAAACAAGTTTAACTTACAGAACAAACACGGTTTGAATACCAATAGAACAAATTTCAGAGCCATGACTATTATTCCTCAATCCACCAGTGTAACATATTGAAGACTGTTTTTCGCTACATATTTCATTCAAACTAACTTTACTTGCACAGCTATAACAGTTAGCAATTGTTCTTCAATCCACTAAATTCTTCCAGCGTTTAGCAGAGCTTTCAGTGAAAACATTTTGCTCCAATAATGTTGCTGAATGTGACAAGCTCTTTTTAGTAGCTGTGTTTTATGTTTGTTCACACTGATGCTATTTCACCCCATCCATGCAATGTAACTTGCACATGGCAACTTTTATGTCCAGGGTTCACAAACATCCTAAGTACTTTATAAGCACTAAACCAGAGAAATGGAGAAGTGCAAGCTCCAATAATTGAGTCAATATTACTACATTTAAGTTCAACAAGTACACATTATAAAATTTATATATATATAAAATTGGTTTTTTTACTAACTAAAGACTTGTTTGCTACTTAACTTTAAAAGTGTGTAGCTATATGATCACTTCACTGTATTTAAAACAAGAAAGTATGAGGTATTCAAGAAAGTACATTCTCTTTCTGAAATGCAATTCACATGAAGGGCAATAAAGAAAAGATTTGGCTGAGGAAAAACAAACTTGTCAAGGCCTTGTACAAACAATAAATTCTTCAGAAATGTGTCTCAAGAGCCTCTCCCTCTACTTATTCTATTCTCAGTCAGAACTAAAAACAATTTTACAATTATCTCACAGTTTACAACAATCTACACCAATTTCCACATTCCCTGTTTCATGTTTTTGCAATGTCTTGAACTGCCACAAACTCCAAGAGCTGTATAAATCCCAACCACATTCAAATTTAGAATTGGTACCTCAGGGGCAGCTTTTAGCTTTTGTTATTTAGAGAACCCAGTGAGTCAAAGTTCTATATTTAACATGATGATGTGGTTACATACAGCTGGGCAGTGCCATCACAATATTTAGAAATTATCTCCCCACTCCAGGAACCTCTCAGCCTCACTGCAAAAACAGGATAAGAAAAATAACTTCATAAAAAGACAAAGTTGTTAAAACAGCCAATGTCATAGAGAAGTTTTGATATTCCTTCCATTAACAGTGTTTAAAAGCAGCAAAAACCACCAAAACTGTATCAAAACAACAATAATGCCCTCTTGTTAACATTATTGCTGAATAAAAATCATCCCAAATAAGGCCATTTTGACTGTGCAATATAGCAGGGAAATGTAATTGGTGTAATTACAACCATAAGGACACTTTTACTACAGGAACAAAAATTAACTCTGGCAGTACTTCAGCCCCTTTTTTTCGCACACTCCAATTCTTTTCATGAGAAGTTTTAAAGATTTTGTTCATTTAACATGCAAAGAAAGTGATGTAAAAGCTTGCTATGAAATCTGAGCTAAATCCATAAAAAACCAATGGATTTGGGATTTTTTTTCCTGTGTGTGTACTGCAGTACTGTTAAAAAAGCCTCAACAAATAAATAGTGAAAGAAACAGGAACATTTATAACCTACCAAAAAAATTACAATTTTTTTTCTATTTTAAGCACAGTAAGTTTTGCAAGCAGCGCCTTTTGCTGTTATTTAAAAGAACCAGATAGACCAATAAATCTTTCTATTTTTCTAACTTAAGTAACACTTTGCTTCCTCACTTGCCTAATTTATATGAACAAAACTTCAAAGGGAGGACTAAAAAGACTGTGGCTAAATTTAACCTAAAGAGTTAACTAGAATACACAATACAAAAATTATCTACAACTGTAAACACATTTTTCAGATTAAGTTGTTCACATATGCTGAGCTAAGCATTTGATAGAAGGACCTAAATTGTGAAAAAGGCATGAAACTGCTGAAAAGTTCAGGGAAGAGGGGACGGGCAGAGGGGGAAAAATAAAAATAAAAATGCAAAACAGTCACTTCCCCCACCCCCCATCCTACTTCAGGAAGAAATTCAGAGCTCAATTTTAATCTGTTTTGCTCTGCAGAATATTCATTCAGTGAAG